CCCCTCTATCTGCTGCTTAAAGAAGGTCATTAGTTACCTTACCTTAAGGAGGGCCGTCTCTGTGCTGTGACATGCCTTAAAACCGGATTGCAATTTCTCAAAGAGGTCATTTTCAGTCATTAAAGATAAAAGTTGTGTTGAAACCACCTTTTCTAAAACTTAAGACCTCTGCAACCAAACTAGCCTGTATTTGCTGGTCAAAAAGCCTCGATTTTGGAGTCAATGTGAACAGCCCGATGCAGAAGGGCAGATGGGCAGAGTCCTTCAGAAGAAGAGAAGCTGGAGGTCAACCTGGTGGAAGGGAATATCTTTTGAGGACACGAGGTCTATTAGCAGGTCTATGCTGAGAAGAAGGTCAAAGGCTTTGATACAGGATTGGGTGCTTGGAGCTGGAAGCTGGGACACTGGCAAGTGAGCTTGTGGACCTATTAACCTAACCTGTTTTAGGAGGAGTGGCAGGTAAGTACGTAGGCATGAAAGATAAAGCTCCTAAAAACAGGTGGGAGAATATCTTGACATGAAGAGTAGGACCCTCAGCAGCTCAGGAGGGAAATGAGGTTTGAGTTCAGCATTGCAGTGCTGATTGGAGGAGGAGAGTCTGAAAAGCAAGTCAAGCCATGTGCTGGACAGAATATAACGGCTTAATAATTCCCAGGCAAGTTAGATAGTGTCTGGAAAGGAGGGACAGCAAAACAAACCCTGAAAGTGAGTTGTTTATGGATCAACTTTGTGCAAAAGGCTAAAATACTTTGGCTGGTTGTCACCAGTGTTTGTTGCGTGCCTCACAGCTTTCCAGAGAAAGGGCATTAACTTCCACAGCAGTAACTTGTCCAATTTATGACAAAAACACTAAGCAGTACATGTATGTGGTTGAAAGCAGAGGTTAGGTAGGTTACATTTTATATGCTGTTGACTGCTTTGTCACTGACACATATGTTGGTATTTTATACAATTTGTACTCTTTAAAACACAAATGGTACTTACAGTGTTGTAAATGGGCTTTTAAGCAGCAGAGAAGGGCTGTGGTGCGGTTACCACTATGGAGTCAACCCTCAATCCACAAGTGTGAATCACATTCTTAATTAGAGAACACAATCCGAACCACATGTAAACAATTAGCCTTCAGGAGAGCATTGAGAGTGTGTGTGTGTGTGTGTGTGTGTGTGTGTGTGTGTGTGTGTGTGTGTGTGTGTGTGTGTGTGTGTGTGTGTGTGTGTGTTTGTATATATTTGAGGTTTAGACAGAGTACAGTGGAAATGCCTCACTTTTCTAAAATTCAACTGAAACATTACACCAGACTGGGGTTGTGGTGGCAGCAGGCATTTGCAAGGTAATCCAGACATCCCTCTCCTTAGCCCTGTTTCCAGGTATTCCTGGAGGATCCTGAGGCGATCTTGAACCAGATGAAATGGATAATCTCTCCAGTGTGTCCTGGTTCTACCCTAAGGTCTCTAACCTGTTTGATGTGCCTGGAAAACTTTCATAGGAAGGTGATCAGGAGATCAAATGGCTCAGGTTATTGGCTATACTATAAAATATTTCATTATGTCTGAGCTTCTTATCCTCTATTTATAACATGTGAAGCCAATCTGAGTGAAAGGGATGAGTTAACCTCTTTCAGCCGAGAAGATACCACTCAATAAATGCCATTTTAATTGTTATTAACAGTTAAGGTCTTGGCCTTTATCAGGCAATATGAATTACAGTGTTTAATTTTCATTATGTAGGACTTTAACATAGATATAGGCATTTGTTTTCAATGACTGAGAAGAACAACATCATCTGCACACAAACAAATGGATGAACTGCTTACAGATGATTTTGTTGTCAGACACAGCAGAAACAACTTCATTTATATTTACAGTGAATAAGATAGGTCCCATAATGCATCGCTGCACGTTTCAATGTAATTCCCAACCAGTACCACTTTCCAAGGTCCATGAGGAAAAAGTTACATGATGCCCTCTACAAATGTTTTAGATCTATCTATGCATAGAAATGCGGAATGTTGGGGCGCTGGTGGCGCAGGGGTTGGTGCGTGCCCCCCCCCCCATGTATGGAGGCTATAGTCTTCCAAGTGGGCGGCCCAGGTTCGAATCCAGCCTGTGGCTCCTTTCCCGCATGTCATTCCCCACTCTTTCTCCCTGATTTCTGACTATCCACTGTCCTATCTCTCACTTAAAGGCCCAAAAATAAATCTTAAAAAAAAAAAAAAAAAAGGAAGGCGGAATGTTTTGTTTTTTGTTGTTTTACCAACAAAAATGCAACAACTGATATTTGTTATGATGTTTATTGAACCATACAGACACAATTTAGACAATAATGCTGATAGAGGATGCCAAAATCTGCATTTGGATAAGTGATTTGATGGGATTTTATTAAGACAAATTTTACTCGAAAATGTGGACTCAAATATAACTCTTAATGAAGGCTAATGTTGCTTATGAAATAGACAGCTGTTTGCCACCAATGGGTTCAAGGCCTAGATTATTGTTAAATTTAACTGCAGCCTTTCTCCACTTCTTCTTTCTTAAGGCTCAGACAAACAATGAATTGGAAGAATGGCTATGCCCCTCAGTGTTAGCCAACAAGTCATTTTCTCTTTAAAATCCTAGCAACATAAACACATGCTGTTAGTTTTAGTTTAATAAAAAAAAAGACACAAACAGTAGTAGATGAAAAAAAACGGATTTATGTGTAAGCTATGGTTTGAAATGTTCATACAGAGACTGCCTAAAGAGCAAACATCAACAACAGAAGTTGATTAATAGCAATGATCTGTCCAACTTTACAACATGCATACAATATGTTATCTCTACTAAACGCACATCATTTGAAATAGGTTGTAACTTGACTGTAGTCAGAAAATATGTTTTCATTTCCCAGCCAATACTGGGTGTTATTAACAGGTTTTTTCCACACTTATTACAAACATTGTAACCAGCCAACAATACAGGCAACAAATCATAGAACTCCTTTCCTTACATTGGCAGCTTTTAAAGTGGTGACTGGCTAACTCCGTCCCTCAGGGAGCAATAGACAGGGCCTGATTAAGATGAATCTTGAATCAATATCTTTCGATCAGTCCCTCCCTGTACATCAATGAGCAGATCACACTAAGACCCTGATGATTTGTCTCATTGATGAAGGGCTTAAGACATCCCAGCTCTTGAATAAGGAATGCCTATTAGTGCCAAGACATGTGGCTCTGACTACACTCTCATTCTATTTTGTTATGCCTCATTGTTAGCTCTGTTTCGTGTCTTTTTTTTTGTATTCATCCCTAAATTCTTCTCATTTGCTCACCCTATTTGTGTCTTTCTTTGCATCTTTTTCCTAGATCCGGGGCACACCCTCCTTTCCGTCCTCTCTGTCCTTCCAAGCCCATAAAACCCTCTCATCCCTGTATGTTTGCACCACATTTAGACAAACTACAGGCTGCAAAGATGCAAGAATGTGTGTACATGCATTTCTGAGTTAGTGCATCGACCCTTTTGTGTCTCATATGTTTGTTTGCATGTCTATGTGTGCATGAACATAATTAACATCTGTGTGTGTACATGTGTACCTTTCCCTAAACGGTTAGCGGTCTGAAGGGTGGGAGGAAGAACAAAAGACAAGAGGAGTGGAAAAGAGAGGAAACAATTAGGTGGAAAGATTGCTACTCCCTTGTTGGTATTAAAATATCCCAGCAGCTCCTGACTCAGGTATGTCTAAAATTACACAATTTATCTGCTGAGCCAAAATCTTCCAAGCATTGCATTTCTCTGCAGATTGGCTCTGTTTGTGTCTGCACACTGGGATAAGGAAACTCCTCCCTGCAGGTTAATATCCAATCACTATGCGCTAAACTTGGGCGAAGCTGAAAACACTGATATCAGATTTTACATATTCCTTTTACATGGTGAGTGGTGAGGAGAGGCAGCATTATGAGGAAACACCGCCATCTTTTAAATCAGTGTTGTGGGGACATTTTGGTTTCAGCTTTGATTATAATGACAAGGACGTGAAAATGGTAAACAAAAAAATGACTGTTTATAGTGTCGCCAACTCAAATAGAAACAATTACAGAGTTTGTCCAACTTTAAAGCAACTGACTACAGCAGGCTATCATGCAGCCACCAGCTGATCCCTGTACGATGGTCAAGGTGAAAGTGAACGGAGAACACATGAAGCAGCATTTGAAACTAAGTTACTGTACAAAATAAAATATCAACGCTTTATGACCCGTTTCTGTATGAAAGTCCGCAAAATTATACAAGTATTTTAAAATATTCCTATTTGTACAACGGGTCTACATGGCAATACTTAAAATGCTGCCTTCTTGTTACTAAGCTTAAACTCCATTAACCAGGAATGTGTACAAATGGAAACTTATTTTTTCTTTTAAGTACAATAAAGAAATAGTTTTAGAATAAAACTGTTTTTTACCCCATTGCTGTTCCTTTATATTACCTAAAACTCCTAAGAATAGAATACCAAAGAAACACTTTAATGGCCCGAGCCGTCACAACAGATGAACCGAACACAAAACAAAAAACACGGTGTATGTATTGCATGGGCTGAATATTTTGTTGCATCCCTAATATAAAATACAACAAACTATAATAAATCTGCACGCACATAAAGAGAGCTCATGGTATTAAAAGAGAATGTTATGGATCAGAAATGTAATTCCTAATAAAAAGTTATCTTTTTTTAAAATGCATTCTTAAACATAATGAATATAAATATGTAAATTATACATTGAATTTGTTCTTTACTGCTATTCTCCCATTAATTTCTCAATTCTGTATCAAATTGAGATAAAAACTGTACAGAACTATTCAAATACCAAGGGGCGAGATAAACAGGAATGCAGTAATCTGTTAAGTGTTGTTGAACTGATAACATTCTATAAACAGTGTGTGTGTGTGTGTGTGTGTGTGTGTGTGTGTGTGTGTGTGTGTGTGTGTGTGTGTGTGTGTGTGTGTGTGTGTGACTGAGAGAGAGCGTGAAGCTATGTTCTATAAACACTAGCACAGCTCTGTTCTCACTCTCTCTGAAGCAAGTTTGCATATTAGAGCTACATCAAACTTCTGCTTTTATAGTAAAGACTGTGTGTGGATGTCTATTGGGACTTTATATCTTGGAAATCATAAATCCAGAGCTCCTTCAGTGGTCAGTGGTGTTTGGAAGATGATGGGATTTTTGGAACTTTTTGTGCTAGCAGCTGCATTCAACTACGTCTCTGCCTCTACAGAAGTTTGCACCAATGCTCTCCTACCAGGAGCTAAAGGTAGAGTATGTGAGTGTTTGTTCAAAGTTCACTGTAAAGTACCTAAACATGAATGATAGCAAAAGATGATTGAATATGTTCTATTTTAAGAGGACTTCACATATACATTCCTACTCTTTGGTTTAGCTTCATTATCATAATCTGCAAATTTTTTTGCTCACACTGTTGGAGATAAAGCATATGAAGTTTATGACCTCACCGATAATGTAAATGAGTTTAACCAAAAAACTCCTCATGATGTAAATGTTGAGAACCTCATTTGCGTCCAATAAAAAAAGGTCTGAGTGGAAAATTCAGAGGGAACACCCTTAATAAGCTTCAGGCTTTACAGAGCTGATGATAAAGGCACCAAGCATGAAATGTCCTGTAGTTTATTATCCTGCAGTCTGCTACCCCATAGTGTTTTGGAGGGAATGCCTCCCTGTGTGTGTTTTCCATTTTATGACATCCAGTAGCTCACTCCCCTGCTGATTCAGACAGACAGAACTAATAAAAAACACTGTTAAGCTAAGCACCTTTTTTCAGCTCCATACTGACAAACACGGCATTCACCTCTGATTAAAATACAGTAAGAGAGATCATTCTTCTTTGTTAGCCATTTAGTTGTATGTTAGCGTCAATCCAACTGACTTTTTCTTAAACTACGGACTGAATGAAATGAAGCACTGGCATGGTTAAAGCAAAAAGGCAGCGGTGACATCATATACACTCGATAGGATATGAGTGGACATTTTGTCAGTGCTCTACTGAATTTCTTATTCTACTAAGAAAGTCCCGTAGTGAGAGTGTGTATTTACACAGCTGCCTCTAAACTGAACTGATTATTTGTACAAGACTCATCCCAGATACAACTGACCACTGAGTCTGTCTGTGAGTGTGTTTCCTCATGTCTGCGTGTTCGAGTGGGTGAAGGACGTGCATTTTGTAATGTTCCTCACCGTAAAAAAAATAAAAACGATCCATTGTTCGAATGTATTTAAACTTTCCCAACATGTTTTATGGCATTTACTGGTACTTTGACATCACCATTTTAAAGTTATTTTTCAGTATTTCGTTTTTTTTATTGAGAAAGAAAAATGTGGGACTGGTAAAGTCACCACAAACACCATTTTCTTTAAACACACAGTTTACTGTAGATGATATTTACCATAGATATCTCCTGTTGACCTCCCTCCTTTATCTTTCTAGTAAGCCATGTTAATCATTTTATTGTTTGTGGTTTCAGTTCAGAAATGTTAATACTGTTATGCAGGCAGAAACATGTTGCACTGCAGTGATTTAGGTTACTTGAAAATGTCATCCTAGTCTGAAAAATAAAAGAAATCACTTTTCCTAATACTCCTCCAGGCTAAATGAGGGGGCTTATTACAATCCTTCATTTCAAAGAACAGTACTTAAAAAGACATGAAGTACTGTTGGCATAAAAGGGTGAAATTATAGCTCTCAGAGACACTCTGAAGACTCTCAAGATTTCTTGCCAAGAGCTCTACTGCAGCGGATCCTCAAAAGATCTAGGGCTATTGAAAATACAATCAGTTTGAATTGTCTTAACGGACATTAACTGAGCATGTGAAAAGTGAAAGGACAGTGTCAGAACAGAACCGTGCATAAAACATGCTGTAAAATGCATATAATTTTGTATTTAAACAAGTTATCTGTAATACTCCTCTTCACTGACTTTTCTTTTTCATCCAGGAGACCAAGGTGAGATTGGAGAGGAGGGAGATCAAGGAAAACTGGGGAAGAATGGACCACCAGGACTTCCAGGTATCTAGCGCCCATCAACTCTGTCATATAAAGAGTCTTTAGAAGGATGAAGGAAGTTGGCTGGCTAGTTACTTAATCCTCTAGCTACAGTGTAAGGACTGAACGGGAAGAAACAATACAGAACATGTATAGTAGACTCTACCAAATTCACTATATTCCATGTAAGGTATTGGTACTGACTGCCTTATACTGAGCTCGTTAAGTTTGGAGTGCAGATTAATTATTGCTTTGTATTTCTTTCTTTATTGGGGGGGGGGCTTTTTTGTGCTTTTATTATTTTACATGTCTAACTGCTGTTTTCTATATGTGCAAAAATTCCATTGACAATACCGTAAGACACAGTTTAAGATAGATTCTGTGTTGGATATATGTATTAATAAAAGTCTTAACAGGTGCTTTATTTACATAATGATAACCACCCCTCTGTATTTATTACCATGGGTGTGTAACATGGCTGAAGAAAACTCAAACTAATACTGTAGGTGGACTGGCCTACCTTAATATGTTTTCACACAAACATAAATATAAGTGTGATTTCACCCTCTGTATGTCATTAACAATGCTGCTGTAAACTTCACAACCAATCATGTCTTAGTCTGTGCTTTGAGCTTTCCCATGGACTGCATGACTTTGCTCTGGCAAACTTTTTTCAGACAGCCAGAGGTGCACTGCTGTGTGTAGAGGAAGCAGACGTGTAAATTGCTGCTGAGGAACGCAGTGGTGTCCCGCTTCACCATGATGTGTGTCCCAACTGGGCCGACTAGCAGGCCAACCAACCAGCCATATCACACACACTGACACAAACACAAACACACACACACACACACACACACACACACACACACACACACACACACACACACACACACACACACACGACATATTTGCACGCAAGATGTGAAATATATAGAAAAGTAGATGTAGACAGACATAAGAACCCACAGTACGTTATTGTACATACACGCACACTCTGGACCCTGGCTGCCCTCTTGCTTTCCGCAAGTGTTTATTTTATTCACACAGAGGTCGTCTCACTCACACGGACACACACTCTTCTCTCATCACACTGTGTGAAAGACAAATGCCAAGACAACTTGAGTCCTTTCCAACAGCGTACAGAAGAGGAAGTGTATATATATTTGACCCTTTTTCAACTTTTCAACTTTGCAGATATTTTTCGGCAGTATAGCGCACCCAGTCATTATGGTTTCTCTGTGTATGCTTACTGTAGGAATGAACGCAGGTTCCTATGATTACTCTGTAAGCATGTCAACAGCTCAGTGGATGACGCATGTATTCCCTGTCTTAATTTAAGCCTTTTACAGGAAACACTTGGTTAATTTTGGAACATTAAAAGGGAATACATGACTGTGAATTCTCCGGAGGGCAACAAACTGTTGCTCCAGGCTTATTGACGTCAACAAACAGTCTCTTAAAAGGGTTGGAGTTCCATTTTTGTTAATTGGGCTTTCCACTCAACTTCAGTGTTACACAAAGAAGAGTTGAGTGTTGTTTACACTCCTTAATTTATTGGTGAACCTGTTGCAATGAACCATACCGCAAATGGAAATTCTGACTCCTTGTAACCAAACCCTTTTTTTCTCCATCCAGAAAGATTAAAAGCAGAAAAAAATAGTACTCTTATATGCTAATTACATTAGTAAACAAGTTGCCAGGACTGATCAGATCTAAGGTCTGCTAAGCACTGTTATACCTTTATTTTCAAACTGCTTACACTCAAAAACATCTTGTCTGTTAAAGCCAGTAAGAACGTTTTTTACAATAGCTAAGGGTGTTGTGAAAGGGCCTTACTTTTGGCTGTTAGATTAGAATGAAAAATGTGGCCTTCACCCCTTTTATCCTCCAGCAGCTGGAGAATCCAGACGTTAAACCAGTTGGAGGGGTCGGCTATTATAAAGAACAACTGCAGTGATAGGAGGGACTGTTATCTTGACGTCGGGAAAGACAGTTTAACTGGCGAGCTTAAGTGCTGCAAAAACAAGATTAATCTACGTTTATAGACATAGAAGGAGTAACAAGGTAGAGACAGATTCAAGTCTTCACATCGCACAAGCAATCGTTATTGCTGATCACAATCAGTGCTATACAATCAGTATAGTCAAAATATTAACTTTGACATGACTCTTCTGAGGCATTCATGCTGAAAATTACTGAGAAATTTCACACAGACCATTCTGAAACTGTGAAATTTCCCATAATCCAGAGCAGTACAGAGTCTAGCAGACCTCACACAATCCATAAGACCCCACACCTTTTCGCCAGCACTTCTCACAAATCATCAAGTCAAAAATACACATGAGAAAGTGGGAAATAGAAAGGAGTAGCTGGCTGTCTGTATGTAAGTGTGTGTGTGTGTGTGTGTGTGTGTGTGTGTGTGTGTGTGTGTGTGTGTGGCAAATCCCTCTAACAGCAATAGGCCTCTCTAGTGCGTCACTTAGTATTTGAAACGCCATCAATTTCCAGTTGAATAGTTTCCTGAGGAAATACTCATTCATGTGCTGGCTGAAAGCCTCAGACTGCTCTGTAGTTTTCCCATACTCTCTCTCTCTCTCTCTCACTCACACACACGCACATGCACGCGCGCAATCTCTCTCACTCCTTCTGATATTTTCTGTCCTCCAAACACTCTTCCCAAAACACTCAAGATTATGCAAAGGAAAATAATTCACAACTTATATTTTGATGACAACAATCAGAAGAGAAATAATAACAAACATAAGAAGCTTAAAAAATAAAAGAAATCCACACAAAACCTGCTCTGTGAAGCAGAACAGGTCAATCTTCAATCTTTGAACCAAAACTACATCAGTGTCTGCAAAAAAATCAGCATGTGTTCCTTTAATCTATCCACTGGCATAATAATAACCATAACAGCATCGATTTCTGATCCAAACTATGCGATGATTGTAGGAAAACAACCTCAGGGCTTGCAGAGATGATCTCTAACAAGACAGGAGCTTGCAATTACATTGATTAGGCTTGAGAAGACCACAAATAATCTGGGAACAAATGATAAATGATGGAAGCCCTGAAAGATGGAGATAGTTGTATGAATGACAGAATGCATGCCTGAATGTGCCACATTTATGTCAAATTGAGTTTGAGGTTCTGGAAAATGTTGCGTGTTGTCTGTGTGTTTATAACGTACACTGAGTTGGATTTGGAAGGTATACCCTAAAACTGAGATGATGATTTGTTCTTTGTCGTTTCTCAAATACCTTCAGTTATCGATATCCTCTCCTCAGTCCTCATCCTTCTCCTCCTTTGTCTTTCTTTCTCTTGTCCCAAGGAGTGCCAGGAGAAACTGGGCTTAAAGGAGAGGTGGGCCATGCAGGGAAGACGGGGCCTGAGGGAGACAAAGGTAGAACACAGGAACCACGCTTTAATATTTCAATCATTAGTTCAATAGAAAGTTTGAAACAATGATCTTGGCTTATCTCTCCCTCACAAATCTCACCTCTTCTATAACGACACTTAAGCACAATTAGTCTATGCTTATCATAAGAAATGTGCTATCTAATAAACGTGACTTTTAAATGCAGCTAGTTTGATACAACAGCGTAAAAAATAGGCCTTTTCATTGTCATTGTCATTGCTTATTCTAACACATTGCACAGTACTCAAATGAATTAGCTTGACATTTCAATTTTCAGTGTCTCTTAAAAGAAAATCTCCAATGAGAGAACTTGACAAACTGTATTACTCTGAAGTCTCCCACTTTGACCGTATCACTGAGCAATGAAACATTAAAACTCATCAATAACAATAACAAATTTGCAAATGTAGCTTTTTTTGCTTCTACAGGACCATAATGTCTTTATAAGTGCCTGAAAGGAGAAATATGGTTTCCTGAGCTCCTCCTTAGCATGGGGAACAGCACCATTACCACAGACAGAAAATATTTTAGTAAGAAGAGTGGACATTTCTACCAGAATCAGGAATCCTAATTAGTCCCAAGGCTATATAAGCCAATTTCAGTTACTCTGAAAAAAGAGCGAGTGTTTTTGCCGTTTCCTTTTTATTTAAAGTTATCACATCCATAGATCCAAAGATCCAAAGATCGAGGAATCACAATAATCAGGTTGATGTCATGCAGTTGCTGTATTTGTATTTTTATGAGCAGTTATGCTCCCTCTGCCCTTTTTTCAGCATTCATTTTTTTTTAGTATTCATTATATTTAATGCACTTCCAGGAAAGTGGCTGTGCATCAGCCATCTTAGGCAACCGAGTGAGGTCATGGCTTTGGATTCTCCTTGATCCTGAGCGCCAGCAGCTCATAAAACACCTGGAGAGAAAAAAACATGCAATTTTATTGCAATGTTGGCTTTAGCAGGATCACAAACAACCACGACTAACTTACTGTTTCATATGATTTGCTTGTGCTACGAGCTCGCTCACAAAAATGGCTCTTTCTATCCTAAGTAAGCAATTGGTCGTAGTTCAAGACATATTGAAGACTGTTATGATGCATGAGGAGAATGCTTTCTGTCTGCTTTAAGTCTATGCAGATGCTTACCCATTATCAAAATATTATGTGAAGATAATATACTAAGCTCAGAACAAAGAGCAAAAGCTTTTGACTTTAAAATCATATGAAATTGGGTCGCTGGTGGCTCAGTGGTTAGTGCGCGCGCCCCATCCTCCAAGCGGGTGGCCCAGGTTCAAAACCAGCCTGTGGCTCCTTTCCTGCATGTCGTTCCCCACTCTCTCTCCCTGATTTCCAGCTCTATCCCATGTCCTGTCTCTTCATTAAAGGCACAAAAAGCCCCCCAAAAAAATAAAAATCATGTGAAATTTGTGAATTAAAATGAAAAAACAATTGCAGTGAGGCTGTATGAGGCAGACTGTACCGTAGGCACAAAACAAGTGCATATCTGATTGGATTTTATTTTAATACTCCAGAGAGTCTCTCTACTGGCAACAGGATAACACGTGTAGTTTGAAGGCCAGAAATGAACATTTCACTTGTTCATTACAGTTTTAACGTTTCAGTCAACGCATACTGTTACTGTGTATTCTGATTCTGACTCATAACAAACAGTTAGACTGGTCAGAGTGGACAGGTACAAGACGTCACTTCTCTGGCTCTTCCTCACACAACAACAGCCTGTTGTGATGTTTGTACTGCAGCCCACTTCCCCAAAAGTTGCAACTGTCAGTTCATTTACTTCAAAAAGCATTGGTATCATTAAATATTTATGGTCTGGATTACATTTAGACACAATGAATACAATTTAATCAACTTTTTCCATATTCAAATAAATTTTGAGGTCCATTTGAAAAATATTTTCTTGGTGAAATTTGTTGAATTGACTTAAGGAAATCTAAACCTGTGTGCAGCCATATTGAAAATATCAAATGTATAATGCAGCCATCTAGTGGCAATACACTATAACTACATAACAGAACCACGATCATAATAAATACCTGCAAGTTCAATTATTTTTGGATTATTTAACGGTGAAACCGATTTCATATTTAAAGAGAATAAAAATCCCTACACTCAAAATTGTATGATGTTAATTTACAGCAGATTTGTATTGCAGGTGACAAGGGTGACGTGGGTTTGGAAGGGCCCTGTGGTTTCAAGGGGAAACCAGGTGAGTAAATTTAATCCTAACTGACAAGGTTTTATTTGTTAAAGTCCTGTAGGACAGTAACCCCTGTTCTGCTTCTTTCAGCATTAAATGATGAGGTTACAAAAAAATTACATTTACAAACACACAGACAGTATAGAGGTACAGTATTTTCCTGAAATTTCAACAGTCATTCTTCTAAATGGATTTGAGCTGGTTGAGCAAAGAATTGTCATTTAAGTTATTTTAATAAAGAAAACAAACATATGTCTGTGACTGGTTTCACTAAAATGACGAGACATGTTTGGTTATGCTCCCTCCTGCAGAAATACAGCCAAGCATCACAAAATACTACTCTGCTGTCAGAGAGTATTAGACATGATGCTTGTCTTTGTTTTGGCCATGTACTCCAGCACACCGGAGCTGAACTCAAACGACATTAAAGTGCTAAATATCACCCTTTTCAAGTGTGTATTACATTGACACTTTGAAGATACAGTTCCCAAACTAAATGAAAGTGCACACCCTGCCCTCCATCAATCTGATCAATTCTATCATTTGCCAAATAGAGGCTGACCAAAGGTAGCCCTAGGGCAAAAGTGCTGACTAGAAAAAAAAATGACTCTGTTCTGATTATATATCTATAGAATGTCTCAAGTTTATTGCATACAATCTGTCCATTGAATCAAATTGACTTGAATACACCCAGGCTATTGTGAAGGAGGTCTTTGTTATGCAGCAGCAGAGGTGTGATTATAATTCTATTAAAGTATATGGTATGGATGGTCACAGTCATAGCTCAGGAAGCTGAATCTTTCTTAAAAATCATGTCCCCACTTTTTCGTATGATTCATCTTTCTTAATCCATCAGGCACAACATGCGACTGTGGCAGGTACAGAAAGGTGGTTGGCCAGCTGGATGTCAGCATAGGCAAGCTGAGGAATGCTGTCAAGTTTGTGAAGAATGGTGAGTAATTTATCGCATATTATACAAAGCAGTATGAATTTGTTCGCCAGAGGATAAAAAAAAAACATCCTCCTCTTTTATTTACTGACCCCATGACATTGTTGTTTGTTTTATTGTAAATAATGTGTAACTATGTTTGCAAAGCATTTCCCGGTTTGTGTGTCAAGGGTTAAGCTCAAGATAAATGTAAAAAAAAAAAAAAAAAAAACCTTGTACTTATAGGCCTTTTTTATGTAATTGATGAACGGTTCATGGACATTTTCTTTTCACATTTTTTTGCTGACTCTTTTCATCTGATTTTAGGTCTGAACAAGTGGTCTGTCATCAGTAGATAGGCCGACATTTAAAATAAATGTTTTCTGTTCATAATGCTGTCTGCCCTGACTTTCTATAGTGAATTAAAAGGTTATATGGTATTGGGTACATGATCCCAAACAATACTTGTCCAACTAAAGAGTTAATACTGGCCCACCAACAAAAACTTTAATTATATTGCCTTTTTGACATCAGTTATTTGATGGAAAAAAGATTAATAACTCAATTACCGGTAACCTTTGACCCCTGTCCTATGCAGTGATCATGGGGCTGAGAGAAACAGAAGAGAGATACTACCTGCTGGTGAAGGAGGCCAAGAAGTTCAGAGATGCTTCAATGAACTGTAAGCTACGAGGAGGCGCCCTGGGAATGCCAAAAACCAACAACACCAACCGCCTCATGGCAGACTACGTCAGTCAGGCCGGACTGACAAGAGTTTATATTGGAGTACAGGCCCAAAGCATGCACACAGTAAGTGGTCCCCCTCTGACACACAATATCACAGGTCACATTTTTTAAGAACTTTTGAATATCTTTAACAGTTAATCCTGTTCTATTAACATCAGGGTGGAACTAGTGCTTATGTATATGCAGATACCAGCCCTCTGCAAGGTTTTGCAGCTTGGAGCCAAGAGGTGGAATTAAATTCAAAATCATCTCCCAGCACAAACTCAAGCTGCGTGGAGCTGCTCAGTACGGGAACGTGGGGTCATGTGGAGTGTGAAGCAACCCTGTTTTTCATCTGTGAGTTCCCAAAGAGCAGCAGAAGAGGAGGAGGAAGAGGAGGAGGAGGGGCATCTGTCTCTGTCTCATTTTAAGTTGATGTGACACTGTTTTCTTGTTTATGTTGGAATGGAAAATGTATGCAATTAAAAAATGACCCGGAATTAAATATAAACTGTGCCTGCATAATCATAAACTGTTGCTTTGTTATTTAGTTTAACTGTTTAGGTAAATTATCACAGCTTGCGGTGAAAAAAATTGGGTGGAACTACTTTATTCCAAAGAAACCCCTCCTCTTCAGTTCGACATTATCAACACAGGCTGATGACATGATGTCAAAGTCACATTTAACCAATTATCTCATTTCAGTTAAAAGGCTGTGGGGGGGTCCAAAATCTCAACATTAACAAGTATAAACCAAAATACTATCCTCCCCTGAGCATCACCTTTCATGGATGAAGTGTTAGCTGTGTTATCTATGTATCAGCCAGTATTTTGCCATTTCTTTAAATAAATAGCCTAAATCATTTCGGAAACTACAGATGTAAAAGAGTGGAAACTGGTGAAACATGTTTTTCACTATCATTGCCTACAGTAATAACAGAAATGTTTTTTTTTTTCCTAAACAGAAAAATAAAGATTAAAGCAAATGTGGGAAGTAAAACTGGTTTTGTGAGTTCAACACTGGGAGTTTTTTTTTTTAAAGTTCAGCAAAGGCTATTACAGAAGGTAAAATATTGCTTTCTAGGCAATAGGGAGGCCAGTGGCTGGATTGTTTGCAAATGATTTAGGTCGCAACACAAATATGAAATCCTTCTAGTACAACAAATCGAGACTCTGTGCTTGTATATAACTGAAATATAAGTAGCCTACAATGAAAGCACCAGGGGTCTCATTTGTAACCGATGCATAGACTGTGAATAACAGGGTTCTTTTTACCGTCTATTGCGCTGCTCTGTCACAGACTGCAGGCAGCGCAGACACACATACAGCGAACTTTTCCCTCTGCCAGTGCTCCTAATCATTAAGTACATCACACCATCATCCTCCTTTCCCTTTCCGTTTCATAGCGCGACCATGGGTGCACACTAGAGAGCTCTATTCTTTCTTGACTACATTTCTATCAGCCTACTTCATGGCGCTCTGACCGAGTGATGCGCTACACATGCGCTCAACTGTGTTCCGTTTGTGTGCCAAACAGAGGCGGTTCATTTCCGCACAGTAAATAGGCGGACTTGGCGAGCAATACTGGTCACATGACTTGAGTGACCTAATGAAATGTTTGTGTAGTGACTATCTAATGACCAAATTTCTTATCTTGCCTTTAGTCACTTGCACAGGTGCATGGAAAGTTCTAAACGCATAAAAAATAAACAACTGTCCAAAATGAAAGTACTTTCTGATGTTCCAGTTTATTGTCTCACATGAAGCAGAGACAAACCGTGATGATGATATGATGAGTTGTTATTTCCGAGGTTATATTGCTATCGTTCTTTTGTTATGTTAAATAGCCTACTTGCGTTATCCTGTGTTTCTGTTATGGTAAGAACCGTATGTTCCCACCACCTATGCCCCCGTTTCCTGTTCACCTGTGACATATAAACACTCAACCAACCACCTGACCAATTAACACAAATTATCAATTACCACCACCTAGTGTTCAAATTGAGTACATAAATAAACATATAAACTAAAGCCATAGAAATGAAACACATAAATACACACACACTAAATTAGCTCCTACAGTTTGTCTTCACTGTATCTCCACAGATACGTTTCTGTGATGTTAATTAAAATGTTGATTAAAATGCTTAAATTATTCATGTCAAGGCTACGTGGGTATAAAAAGTTAAAATCCTTTCATTGATAAGAAAATGTGTTTTTGTATTAAAAGTTATGTCATAAAGCCCAGTGGGAGTGGATTCTGGTTTAAAAGGTGGCTACTTGATACTTTCAAGCAGTCTAGTTCTGGTTACAGAGAAGGTAACATCTGTTGGAGAGTGGGTTTTTTTTGTTTTTTTTAAGCTCAAGTTTTGTTTGTCTGCTCATGTGGATTGAAGATAGTATTGAAGATTGTACAATAAAAGATGTATCAACAAATTTCTCCTTTACACAGAAAAACAGGCATACAGTTATTAAGTATACACAATACTGCAAATGTAGAATAATCTGCATAATAAACAGTTTGTTCACAGAAATACACAATGTGAAAATGTGTTTGAATACTTCTCTTATGCTCATCTTTTCTTTCTCGAAGATCTGCTTTCCAGTAAGAACAACTCCCACCCAAGAGGTCATTTCCCCCCTACATGTCCTTATATGTATTTGCAGTATCAGCAAATAACAGCTCTCAATAAGAACTATCAAATGCAACATCTGAAAGCTCTCTGTAGACTGGAAGGGTGAACAACTGAGAGATGTCTTTGACATTTGATAGCAAATCAGAGGAGATCGGAGGAGATACTACTTGTCATTTGCTGACTATTGAGGATGAATCAAGGAATGGAAGGAGAGCTCGATGTTTAGGTAGGAATAGATCTTTACACTTTTTAGATACATGAGATGCTACATTATACAGTTATAGAGATGGTAGCTGACACTGTTGCTATTTTAAATCATATTATGTGCGTAATGACGCGCAGATAAAAGGAGATGGGGGGACTCTTATAAGAAAATGTATGCATTTGCAATGCTTTTTGTAGTTTGATTGCCTCATTGGCTTATCTGTTCTTCAGGGTGGTGGATTGGAGCTGCTGCAGTGTGTGTAGCACTTCTTCTGCTGGCTGTGACCTTGGTGGCCCTTGGTGAGTACTGAGCATACCAACACAGAACATCCGTTGTTTATCTAGTCACAATTATCAGAGTTCAGTGTGATCTGTAAGAGCATTCAGAACCATATAACATGTAAAACTCAGTTTCAACTGTTCAAAATCCTCAGCCCTTAACATCCTTTTGTAACAGTAAGTAAATGTTTAACTCCATTTAGAGTTACACAACAACCAGGTCCCTCAGATCCTCCAACATGGGCCTCCTAGCTGTACCTCACTCTCACTATAAACTTCGAGGTGACCGAGGCCGTCAAGGCCCCTCGCTTATGGAACAGCCTTCCTCCCTCAGTGAGGTCTGCCCCCTATGTGGAGTCCCGCTTCAAAACACACCTCTACACGTTGGCCTTTGAGTCCTAGTTAGGTTGCTTATACTTCTTTCAAATGTACTTATTTCAAATGTCTTATAATATTATTGTCTAATTATATTGTAAGTAGTCTGTGTGCATGTGTGTAGGCAAACATTTATGTGTGATATGTGTTTATAACCTGACAAAAGACAGGCACAGGGAGCGAGAAGCTCTGAAAGATGAACAAGATCAATTGAAGACTAACTCCAGGAACCTGACTGAAGAAAGAGATGCTCTGAGAGGTGAGCGAGACCTATTAAAGGTTCTATCCGGCAACCTGACTAAAGACAGAGACGCTTTGAGAGATGAACAAAACCTTCTTAAGGTCCTTTCCCGTAACCTTACTAAAGACATAGATGCTCTGAGAGATGAGCGGAACTCTTTAAGAAATGAGCGAGACCAACTGAAGATTCAATCCAGTAACCTGACGAAAAAGATGGAGGCTCTTCAGAGCCAATACAACACTCTGGCTGCAGGGCATAATAATCTTCAAGCAGAGATCAGCAGGCTCAAAGGTAAGCAAATAACTTTAGCAAGAAACAGAAAATTGTTAATTTAATTTATATTTGATTCAATACTGTAGAAGGAAATTTGAAAGGGTGCTGAAATAAAGGTACACTATCAAATACTAATGTAGTTGGTTGGATGAATTGTAAAATTCTTGAAAGAATAATTGAACTACAATACTTTTGAAGATAGAACTGTAATCATAAATATTCTGCACAATTGTTCAGAAATCTTTCAACCAAGTGCAAACTGATTGCCTCCTAGGGAATGGTATCGTTCACTGGGAACAATTCAATTATTGTTTTGAAGACTAAAAACTAGATGACTGCAGACTCATTAGCATGTATCAGCGTCTCTAAAGAATCGTCTTTGGTCTTGGGATGATCTGGGGCATGTCCTCGAAGGAGTGGCAATCCCTTGAACCCTTTTTCAGTGGTTGTAAACAAAACTTAAAAATGGAAATCAGTCTCAAAACTTTAAGCTCCCAAAACTCACTGATGTATTTGTATTTTTCTCCAGCAAAAACTTGCCCCAAAGGATGGTCCTTGTTCAACAACAAGTGCTATTTTTACTCTCCCAGTGGACATGGAAAAACCTGGGAAAACAGCCAACAAGACTGTCAACAGAGAGGAGGGCACCTGGCAATGCCGAAAACAATGACTGAGCTGGAGTTTGTCAGCAGAGGTAATGCGTATACCTGGATCGGCCTGTCGGACAAGTTGCAAGAAGACAGTTGGAGGTGGGTGGATGGGTCTGAACTGGAGGATTGGAGTTTCTGGAAACAAGGGGAGCCCAACAATGCTAATTATGATGAGGACTGTGTTGAGGTTGCACAAAATGAGGCGAAATGGAATGATGCAGATTGCAGCGCTGAATTTTCATGGGTGTGTGAGGCTTAAGGTCCAGTGTGCAGCAGAGTCAACAAGGCCCACTCCTCCTGTTGTTGAATATACTACTTTAAAATAAAACATGACAATAGTTTTTACCATTCTTCATCTTATCCTGCTTTTACCAATAATCATTAGTTCGAAGTCTTGCGTTTTGCACACACAGTTGTATCTTTTATATGTTTTTTCCCCCAACTGACTCTAAAATATACAATAAAAGCATGAATAAATGGATAATGGCTCACTAAGTTCTTTTTCGTTTTACGATTTAATGACTTAAATATTGTAGACTTAGATAGAAGTCTGCAATATTTAATATATTTGATAGAAGAAGAGACTTAGATTTATTTCTGGTACAATGTAATTCCAAAGAATAAACATGCCAAGTGTTTTTAAAGTAGACAACAAGTAACAGAAATAAGGGTTTTTTACAGATTACATTGATCCTAACTGCAAGTCACACACACTAAACTGTACTGAGACCCTTTCAAGGGTTATAACACCTATGAATCTCATATTTAAAGCCTGAGCTAAACATTAACTATGGCATAACATCACAAACTGCTCTTTAAGATATAAAAAGAATAAACTGTAGCACTTAACAATTGAATTAAGAAAAGCTTTTTGCCTAAGATTACCCCCAACATTTGATGTTTCTTTTCTTTTAGTGCAAATGTGTCAAATGTTGCCAAGTCAAATTGGCTATCAGTTACTTAATCAAAGACAGTAATGGGCAGGTTAAAGCAAACATTAATATCAGGTATGACTTGAATTTAAAACTGTTATATAGGTATAGCATTTATTGTGAAAATGTTTAATGTTTCACTGATTTATGTTTCACAAATTTTCTAAACTAAATTTGATCTACTTCAATTCATTATAGTTGACCGTTGAATATTCTAGTTGTCCTCATATGCCCGAAGGTTTAAATGAAGTTGACTTCATGGAAAGGGGCCAGATTCAACATCATAACCTTAACTGTGAAAATAAATCCTGATTCAAAATGGTTTCACTGAGTTACATGAAACAAATCGCATTGGTATAAAACTTTTGATAACATAAAATATGTGGGTTTTTTTTAATTCAAACTGCAACTTCTTTTAGAAATAATATATTTAAATAAGTATGGAAGTAAATAAAGATGACCACTTTAGGGTGGTGTGGTTATGAAACCTTTCTAAGGAAAACAACGTGATTAAAAAACATCACGAGTGTATCAGATGAGATGGCAAGTGGACAGAAAGTGAAACTAAATGTAAGCAGGTTAAATTGCTAAATAAGCTTTTCTGTACTGGGGAAAGTACAGTAGACACTGAGAATTCTGATTGGGGTTACTATGGGTTGGCTGGACTCTATATCGCAGGTGATGATGATTTTTTAATGATTTGTGATTAAGCAAGCAATAACAAATTCATACAAAAAAACAAGACTCAAACAATATTATGTTAATATAATAAATATAATAGAAAAAACACTATAGCTCACAGACATTTAATGCAATGTCCTAACAATGTTTAGGGCTTACATAAAGTAACCATGGGATAATGACTTGTACTTTGTTAAAGGAACAGAAGTTGTTCCCCTATTCCTTTGACGACTCCTTCCTGTTTTATTGCCGCTGCTGTGTCTTGTCTGTGCATGTTGAGTCAGGGCTGAGTGGCTCTTTATTTCTAGGAAAGTGGAATTCATACTTTTAACATAAAACTCAAACGTTGTCAGGTTTTAAATGTTGTTCATCTCTAGGGCTCTATAGGGGAAGACACTGATAGGTTTCAGTTCAACATTGTGCGACCCCCTCATTTAAACATTAATATACTTCTCATAATATATCTGTTGTAAACATAAATTGGAATTGGATTAGGAATGTTTTGCCAACCCCCCCCCCCCCCCCAACCCCCATCCGTGAGGGATGTAATCTGAACAAACAACTCAAAGATACATTTTACACTGATCACAATTCTCATGACTTGGCTGGAACATTTTTAATGTCTTGTGAAGGTGCAGAAAGAGTTAATCCAAAATTGCAAACTCCAGCAAGAATAATAAATGTTTGCATAGTGTGTTCATAGTTAAACGTTTACAATTTTTCTTGATTTCAAGCAAACAGCTTTTCACCTTGCTCCCTCTTTTCACCTTGCTCCCTCTGGCTGTTGCCGCCTTAATCCAGAGCTTCCCCTTCTCTTTCTTTCTGATATCCGTTTAAAGATTATTTTTTCTACCTTTATTGAAGAGATAGAACAGTGGATAGAGTTTGAAATCAGGGGGAGAGAGAGTGGGGAACGACATGCTGGAAAGGACCCACAGGTCGGACCTGAACCTGGGCCGCCCACCCGGAGGACCATGGCCTCCGTCCATGGGGCGCCACAAACCACTAAGCCACCAGTACCCCCCTGCTATCTGTTTATTAGTCACCAGTCAAAAGAGGAGTTTGTTTGGGTAAGATCTGTGTTTAACACCACCAAGTTGCATTGACCTTCAACCATATTATTCATTTTTGTATCTACTGTAATTTAATATGTTGGTCTTTTCTTTTTCTTTACACAATATATCTATTGAAAAAATAGATATATTGCATGTTAACCTGTCCGAAAGAGGAGGCCTCCTCTTCTGCATGGAGGGTTTTCTATGCTGTATGAATCATTAAGAGCCGTCAGGGATATTTTGGACTGTTTTGACTAAATAAATACAAACGGCTTGACTTCAGCACTTATACACTTGCTCACATCTTGTTATTGTTCACATGAAGTAAAAGCAGAGAGTTTTGCTGACTGTCCAGTAACTTAGACTGTATATGGCACCATAAAGACTCACAGTACTTTTTTCTAAAACCCATTCAATCTGTGTATAAGTGAAATAATGGAAGAAGAAGTGAGGTGACATGAGGTCCAAGACAGAAAAAAATGACTTAAATTGGAGAAGAAAACCCTTAAGTTTTTTACACATAAAAAATAAATATCAAATTCATATTTTTTTTTATCTTCTAACACAGGTCATAGGGCTGCAGGGTAGTGCAGTGGATAGAGCTGTTGTATCTGGCAAGAATGTTCCTTGGCCAGAAAGGGCATTTTGTCTGCACGATTTGTCTGGCTACCTCTCCCACTCCAGAACCATGCTTGTCGTGAGTTTAATTGTCCATAAGTGGCACTGTTTCTCTATATGTCAGCCTTCTTGAGATTAAATGGTGAACTATCACTAGTGTACCTTACCTCTCGCTCAATGACAGCTGGGATCTGCTCCAGTCCCCCCTCCCCTGAACTTGACAAGCAGTTACGGTTAGTGATGGATTGACAAACTAACAAACAAACAGTGCAGAAAGGTGTAAATGTAATACTTCAAAGGAAGAAAAGAGCAGAACATTAGGTGACGGTAAGGTTGAATTAATAATATAGGAGGTGAGACCAGATCAAATGAAGAGAGAATAATGAGGGAGGCAAGAAAAAATGCTTCATTTGATCAAATACATCAAATCTGTGCAAGCATTGCTGGTGGACAGAAAGAAAGAAACTAATTCATAGGTTCAAACTCATAACTACTTTTGACTAATAAGGAGCATAAATCTTTAAAGAAAAATTATGATGATTTGAAAATATCTGCATATTTGGCATCTTAAATGATATGCAGAAAAGTTTGCAGAAATGTAGAATATCAAAATGGATTTCAAATCTTTTCATAATCTTTAACATCCCCAAATCTTATGTCAAAAGATTTCAGAGATCTGCTTTACAATAAGAAAGACTCCACCCCAACATGTTGTTTTTCTCAACCCATACATGCCCGAACATGAATTTGCAGTCTCAGCAATTTTCTCAATAAAAACAGTCTTGTGCAACACTTGAAAACTCCTTTAGAGTGAGAGTGGAAGAGTGGAAGACACTCACCAAGACTCTGAAAGATGTCATTTGGAGGAGATTCTCGGTATCTGATGACAATCGATGATGGGGGAAAAAATGAGAGATCTCTAAGTTTAGGTAAGAATATAAACGTCAACAAATTGATTACATTTATTATTTTCCAGCAATAGAAGCTGTAGCTATGAAAATGCTATATACCATGCCATGCAGATAGCAAAAAGAAAGGGGACTTAATATTGTTTTTTAAAGCTTTCAGATCAAGTACACATTTCTATTGTTTGTGGTTCTAATTACATAATTTGCCTTTTAGTGTGGCGGATTGGAGCTGCTGTGGTGTGTCTGGTGCTTCTTCTGCTCACCGTAATCTTGGTGGCTCACAGTAGGTGGAAAACTTTTTCAGCAATAAGAATAAGAACAGCAAAATGCTTCATTGTTAATCTGTAAGAGCTTTCAGAGTAATATCAGTCCTTAAACTCCCAAAAGTCTGATATATCACTCTAATATATTTTGCAACAGTCAATCTCTTAAAAAAGCACTCAGTGTAGGAGCTGCATATTGATAATTCTCATGATTTTTTTAATGATTCTAAATAATTTTTGTTGCAGATACCAGTGCTATTAACAGCTGGGATGCCAAGTATGAAGACCTGATCTCTAATCTGACAAAAGACAGGGGCACTAGAGACAAGCAAGACAAGACTGAGTCCAGTAGCCTGACTCAAACGAGGGACATTGCTAGCGTTGAGCGAGATGCTTTAAGAAATGAACGTGAAGCTCTGAAAGAGGAGCGAGAAGCCCTAACAAGTGAAAGAAATCAACTACAGAACTACTCCAGCAGCTTGACTAAAGACAGAGATGCTCTGAAAGATGAGCGAGAAGCTCTGAAAGAGGAACGAGGCCAACTGAAGATTTATTCCAGCAACATGACCAAAGAGAGAGATGATCTGAGGGATGAGCGCAAAGCTCTGAGAGATGAGCGAGCTGCTCTGAAAAATGAGCGAGATCAACTTAAGATTCAATCTAGCAACCTGACTGAATACAAAGGTGTTCTCAAAGAAGAGCAAGGTGCCATAAAAGATGAGAGAGATGCTCTGGCAATTGAGCGTGCTGCTTTGAAAGTTGAGCGAAACAATCTGAAGGTTCTAACCTTCAACCTGACTAAAGACAGAGATACTCTGATAGATGAGCGAGACGCTTTGAGAATTGAGCGAAACCAGCTGAAGATTCATTCCAGTAACCTGACCAAAGAGATGGGGATCCTGCAGAGCAAATACAACACTGTGGCTCTAAGGCGAGATAGGCTTCAAGAGGAGCTCAACAGGCTCAACCTCAACCAAACAGGTATAAAATCTACTTTAACAACCACAGAGTAGGATCTAGGGTTGTCCCCCTTGAAATGTGATTGGCCACCCTTGGAGCCACCCAAAAACTTAAACTATGATTGGCTTTTTTGCAATTGTCAGAGGTAGATCTAAACTTTAAATCAAGTCATGAGTATGAGTGAGTTGCTCAGATTGATCGACCTATAGGACAGGGAGGTTATATTTACTTGCTAATACAGTGTGCCCGCCTTCCTCTTTAGCAATGCAAGTTATGAGGCTTGATTATTGATGAGTCTGACAGGTCTGAAGAATCTTCTACTGTTGAATGTTTGACAGAAGTCCATACCTCTGTGGGGCTTTAAGGTTTTTTTGTTTAACAGTAACAATTAAATGACTTTAAGTTCCCCGCATGATAGAGAAGTTATGAGTGTTAAACACAGTACAGCTTGATATTGGGCTTTCTAAAAACAATATCTGTTATTTTAACACCACTGGGAAGTAATAAACTTAATACTCTGAATAAAGTTGGAAACATATATGTCACCCCTTATAAGTGTCAACATTAAACCAAAGCAACCAAAAAGGCTTATATTACAGTGTTTATTTCCATCTAGTCCTAATTCTAGACATTAATCTTAACAGTTTTCATGTTCATATTTCAGATCTTTTTACAACATCTCAGCTACACCATTTAAAACTGACTCATTCGTTTCAAGAGTGTGTACATACCTATCTTTGGCTGGTTTTCATTTCAATACATCAGAGTTTTCATTTCTTGCAACTAAAGCAGAATCAAAATGAGAAGTCTGCTTTTGTAAAAAAAAAAAAAATTGTTTCAAAGCTTTTTTGTCTGATATAAGATCAGGTGTTTATTGGCAGCATGTGCAAGAGGTGTGGCCTCGCCTTTTACCGTTTACCATTTTGACTTGTTGTAATTAACATTAAATAATGATGGACATCATTTTTTTTAACCTGTATTTAAGATTCCAACTAACTTATTTTTAAACTATATATTTCTCTAGCTTCTTGTTTACCTGGATGGAACCTTCATAACAACAAGTGCTACTACTACTCGCCCAAAGGAAAGACTGACACCTGGGAAAATAGCAGAGCAGACTGTCTAGCGAGAGGAGGGGACCTGGCGATGCCAAAAACACAAGATGAGCTCGTTTTTGTCAGCAAAGGTAATAGCTACTCCTGGATTGGTTTGTCAGATAAATTGCAAGAAGGCGTGTGGCAGTGGGTGGATGGGACTGACCTGGAAGATCTGGGATTCTGGAAAGAAGGGGAGCCAAATGATCAAGGAAGTGAGGATTGTGTGGAGGTTTCCCGCTCTCAGGTGAAATGGAATGATGCACCTTGTAGGAATAAATTTCCATGGACATGTGAGGCCTTTGGTCCAGGGGGTAGCAATTGAAAAATGTCTATAAGTCCCCCTCATCCTGTTATATATCCTACAGTCCCTTTTGTAATATAATGAGCCTTTTTTTATTTTTTAAGATTCCATGGTTATTATCGAGGTGATATTTTTCTTTTTCTCTTTAATTTCTACAATTTTATCAGGTTATTATGGAGGTGATATTTCTCTTATTTTTTCTTTTTTAAAGTTTTATCAGAGCTGATAGATGCCCTTAGTACAAAGCTGATTTTTTTTTTTTTTAAATCTTATTTTTGTAACTATTTCTTGTACTTAGTGCTTGATATTTTACTTGCATTCCTATTTTATGAATATTTTGATTGTATATAACTATATTTCTACCTCTATGTTGTGGTTTAGTGCAGTTGTAACAACCGTATCTTTCTTCCACTGTTTCTAAAATAAACAATAAACATGTATAAAAGAATGATGGAATGCCTAGTCTTAAACGCCACATTTACAGTATTGAAAATTGAAGAAAAGTGAAGTCAAGAAGGTGTTATAGGTTCTTCTCTAAGCGTATCCTTATAGGGCCTTTTTTCTTCATGATTAAAAGAAATGCTCTGTAAACGATTTTACAGTAGCAATGCTGGATTTCATAAACAAAATTATTTCATTATGTGATATGATACATGTTCTTATACAATTAACATCAGTTCTAACCTCCAGCTACTAAACTGAACCAAGCCCAGTGCCCTTCGAGAGGTTAAATAAACATTGTTTCACATAATCCAAGCCCTAGCTAAACATTAATGGCTAACATAACAAACTGCTCTTAAAAACTTAACAACACAGGCTTTTACCATTTGATTCAAAGAACTGTGTTTGTAAATGGTCACTCCTTAACCATGGATGTTTCACTTCTCATTTTTAGTGCAAATATGTTTGATGTTGCTGAGTGTGTGGAAATCAGTACTCCTCTCTCCTCCTGTGAAAGTAACACTTAAACCAATATTTACTTTTCAAACTACTTGGCTCTTGCACTGGGATGGAGAAGTAGTGCACACACCACTGATTCTTAGCTTCCCATGTCTTTTCTTACAGTGATATCCTTTGGGGTCTGGACATTCACTCCAGTTTTATACTCACCCTCTCAGTAATCAGGGCTGCTTTTCAAACTATGCTCTTTAACAGACTGACAGAATGATACTCTGCCTTTAGTTGTTGGAAATACTTAAAGTACAAGGTTGGGGGCAGCTGGGCATACCACAATAATTGATTGTAGGGTTATCAAGAAATGACAGTTAGGGTGTGGTGAGAATAAAGGCCATTCAATGGTGTTGCATCATTGTAAACACACCTTGAAACCCTTTATGAAATACTCAATATTCTCACATGTAATGCAGACTACAGGTTTACTTTGCTAGATAATGGTTCTGTTATAACTATTAATCTATATATATAGCAATATATAAGCTATATCATATAAATTATGTTTGGACTGAATATACAAGTGCATTTGGTTGTTCATTTTATGGAAGATGAGTATTCACTAGCGTCCCTCTGTATTTTATTTGACTTGTTGAATATATAAAAAATGTCTAAGATATCCCCATTTTATTGTCTTAAACTTGTTGCACCTATAAGTTTGCTCTCTATTTTTTCACAGACTGATTTGTGTTCTATTTGCAAGTAGGCTACTAATCTTTAAGGAAACACAGTCTTAACATGATGGTTATTGGGCTACATCTTCATCATGTTAAATCAACCGCCAAAGCCACTGAAAGTCCAAGAAATGATTTCCCACGCACATATAAGGGTTTACAAAACTGGATATCTGGCACGGGGAGCTTCCGTGATGTCCTTGAATGCACCACACGTTTCCAGGGAGTGGCGAAGTACACCTGTCCGACCTGTTTGAGGGATATTAGACTCCCGAGGAATTTCGTTTCCTCCCCCCCCCGCTGCTCCCGTCCTTTGTTTACCGGCGTCTTCTTTTCTGTGGGAGACGAAGGGTGAGAGGCAGAGGAGAGAGGGGGAGACACAGACGAGAGAGGGGGATATAGAGATGTCGGAACCAGCCACTAATCCCGCTGCCACCTCGTTCCCTGCACCAAATATTTCTCTACCTTTGGGACTGGACGTGCTGAGAACTTATTCTGGAGCCCTTGTATGCTTAGAAATAGTAAGTGTTGTTTATCAGAGGGTTAATAATGACGTTTGATGTTTATGTATTGGTGAATCCGTGTAGCCTACTATGTGGCTTTTTAGAACTAAAATTGCAGAGTAAATGTTACTGTGTTAATAATTAATGGACTCTCAGCTGAGTGAGACTTTAAACCATCCCTGCTGCTCAGTTTCACAGTTGCAAACGCGCTGATCGTCACTGAGATTGCCTGAGGCTGGGTATACTGTTTGCGCTTGACAGGCAAATAAAGAGCAAATATGGCCTCAAGCAACGTGGTGTCTCGATTAAACACCTGTTGTTGAGATGCAAGGCCTGTAAAATATCAAAAATATATTATGAGCTTGTTATCCTCTCATAATATTGTGTTATAAGTTACAAGTGCTAGCCTTCTTTCTCTCGACGTCTTTACAAACTCACTCTAGTTTAGGATTATTTGCGTACTTATCTGTGGACTATTTGCAGGTGATGGCCTTTTTGTCTCTAACTAGGCCTTCACATAAAATAACCATTTACATGCAGAGTTGTTGTCTTAAGCTATGTCCAATGTAGAAGCTTTTCCCCAGTCTTGTTATTGGTACCTTTCTGTCAATATCCTCATTTGTCTATAAACACCTGATGTCAGTGGTGTTACCTTAATGCATTCATTGTCTTTAATGTTCCATTTCAGCTTTTATTTCTTGGGTTGGGTTCACACCGAACTCAACAGTAGGTTATCCTTATGGCCTTGCAATAACAAAAAAAAGGTGCAGGACACATGGACAACTATGGAGATTGAGCAATAAGCTGCTTAAAGCGTGAGAAAAAAATATAAGCAACTTTTGAATGATGCAAATATATGACACAGTTGAGGATACATCAATCAGATATGTTTGCTGGTGATATGATAGTGTCTTTGTCAAAGTCTGCATAAAAGTCACTGACTCTTAACACTAACACATCCATTTCCAGTTACACTACTGATCAAATATTAAATAGAGTTGCACTCAGTGATGCTAACCTTTTAAATTTAGCAAATACAAAGCTCTGATATCAGGTAAGAAATGTTGCCAGCAGAGTTTAGGTTTTATACATATAGGTTCTAAGAGTAAAAAAAAATCCCCTTGCTAATGTAAATATGTAGAATTGTTGCAAACTATTGAGTGCTTTCAAGCCTGTAATTTTACAAATCTGACCACGGACACAATAAATTGTTAAATGGATTAAAGGAGTTTCCTGATGCTGAGTTTAATTTCAGCATAATAAAAATGACCAACAGGGACCCCGTGCACAAGCAACCCAGGTCCTCGGGTGCCGATAGGTTGCAGGAACATGAGTAAATAAAATAATAAACCGTTGCACATTGAAAACTATTCAACTGTCACTTTATTGAGAGCGAACAATGCATCACACCTGTAGCTTCCTCAGGTTCACCCAGCATTCATTTCAGCATATCAAATTAAATAACAGCTTGTATATATCTCCAGATATTTGGTGGACTGGTATGGATCCTGGTGGCCTCCTCCAACGTGCCCGTGCCCTTGCTGCAGGGCTGGGTGATGTTTGTCTCCGTCACCACCTTCTTCCTCTCCTCTGCTTACCTCACACTCCTTGTCTCTGGCTTGGCAGATCGCATCAACACTGACTGGAACTTTTTGGTATGTTCTACTGTAGATAAATGCGGATCATATCACTCATGTGCCCATCTGTATATCTGTCTATCTTTCTATTCATTCTTTCATTCTTCCATTTCTCTGTTGAGCTGACTAGTTCACAGCTGTCTACAAACATTGCACAAATTACTATAACAAGCTGTATAAAGAGAAGTATCTTTAGAAAAATCAGCCTCATAGTGCTTTTAGAGGTCTGTAAGGTTATGCTTAAAAGATGTTTGGGGGGGTTTTAGATTTATTTTTGGGCGTGACAGGAAACGTTGGGGGGGGGGAAGCGTGGGATGACAAATATTTACAGTCTATGGGGATGACATGCAGCAAACAGCCGAGGTCGGATTAGAACCCATGGCTGCTGGGACAAGGACTATAGCCTCAATACATGGGGAATGTGACATAACCACTATGCTATCTGCACCACAACATAAGATGTTTGATAATGTTCTCATGAAAACAACAGATGTTGTTGGGTGCCTGAATAGTCTGAAATGGTTCAGTAACATGTGTAAACTTTATGTTTGAACTATTTAAGTTGTAAGTCGGTTGACTTATTTATACCGAAACACATTCATATGATAGAGAAATCTAATATCGTGGCTGAAATTGCTTTCTCTTTGGATGTTTGAACATATTGCAATTTTTTTCTTCTAATGATGCCAAGTAAATGTTTTCTTTTTTTTGCTAATGGGATTTCTGGAAATGTAACATAATATAAAAACTAGTCATAGAGTCGGCTTAACATTAAGGACAGTTAAGGACAAACATTAACTTGTGACATTACCCACAAAATCATGGCACTTCCCCAAGTATGGAAACCCATTTGAGGTTATTGTGTCATTATCTGACTCAGTGGTAAATGTGTTCATGTGTGAAATCTTTGATTTCTTACATAATGCATCACTTCTTTAATCCAACATTTAAAAACTTTGTATAAAAGCCATAAGAAGAAATTACTGTAGTTTACTGAAAAACATTGTTAAATATTATATCTTATCTGCATTTGTAAATCCATATGTTGGGTATCTGGGGTTTGATTTGAAACCGCTGGTGACTAAAGAGCTCTTTAGAGAACAGGCAACAAAGTGAGGCAGATTATTTATTAATTCACCATCTTGTGCACAAAGCTTTATACCAATTATAGAAAGATAATGCTCAGATGAAACTCAATCGTTTTAGCAATGTAATCTTAACCATAATGTGTACAGGCAAAGTCTATTACAGTGCTCTGACTGACAGGTAGTCCGTGTAGACCTCAGGTAAGGACATGTAGGTGACCGTGAAATACAGAAAGTACTGTTATAAGATAGCTTTAAACACTTTCCATAACACAAGCTTCAGAAATGTGTTATCACACAGCAGGTTTATCTTCAGTTCTTCAGGGACCACAATCGACTCAAACCAAAGTTCCTCACATGAGCTTTAATGCAAAAAAAAAAGTTTATCCTTGTCCTTGTCTTATACCTTGGAAGTTATGATAGCTGTTATGTTCGGTTCATGACTAACTGAGCTGACTAAGCTGAAAATGAATCAATGATGAAAGTTAGTGTTAGCTAAAATGTAAAATGGCTTTTTCTGTAACTTATGCACAGTACACCATTTAGCTTCATTATGGATGAAGATGCCACATATTAGCACTGTTGCTGAGGTCATTTGTAGGGGTGGGAGTCACAGGGTAACCAACCATACCATACCCATGCAGTATGTCATATGTGGCCCAAGACATTGATAATATCCCGATACAGCAAATTTGTGATCATCTATATTTTGTAAGATAATCATAAAATGATTTATGTCCATATCTGATTAGATGAAGGCCATAAAATACCCATAAAAAGGTCAAGTGGAGGATTAATGTATTAATTCAATGCAATCTGAAGTCACTTTCACCGCTTATCTCATGGGTGTCTGACATTAGCCCACTGTCTTCTTCGTCTTTGTCCAATTTACTTCAGTTCACTTTAGGCTCATGCATGTCAAAACCACCACTTTGAGGGATTTAAAGTGGTGACACAATGATTCAAAGTTGCAGTGAAATCTGTTTAGAGCGACTTTATTTGAAGTAATAAAAAAATTCAATATTTGGCAGCAGGGATTCCATAAATTTATCACGAGTCAGGATGGCGATATATTGCTCTATCAGTATTTCTTCCCACCCATAGTAATTTGTATCTTAGTGAAAATCAACAACTGTTGGCTTGTTTTCATGTAAATACATCAAATAAATTGATGCGAACCTACATCTTGTTTTATATAACATGAAATAACTGTTAAAGACATTCTCTCACAATGAACTATGATCAACAGAAGTTCAATAAAAGAAAAAGTGCGACCCTGTTCCATGTTCTTGTGTTGTGCTGTGTCTTTGTTTTGAACCGTTAAAGTCTGGGCTCTCAGACAGGGCCGTTTTGCCTCAGCCTCTTGATTCTGCTCCCAGGAGTAGCCAGGCTTGGTGGGTTGTTTGTGTCCAGCCGAACAATGAATGACATGTATGATGAGCTCACACCAATGTGTAACAAAGGCCTGCCTGTAGTCCGGCCAGGCTCACACAGTCGACAACACAAACTCTCATTAACCTTCTTCACTATCAAAGACGCACTCTCTCTCTCTCTGTGTTTCTTAAATCCTTCTATCTTTCTTTGCTTTCATTCTTTCTATAATGAATTCATCAATATTACATGTTTCCACTCATCTACTTTTTTCTGTTGAATTCTTTTATTTGTCATGTTTGTTGTTTCAACCATTTTATACGATACAATTGTTGTAAAATGTTGATGTTTTGACAGCCTGCCTCTCTTACCAGTACACTTTGTTTAGTGTTGTGTAAACTGGAAGTTGTTCTGCAGGTTTACAGGGGAAAAAACATGTTTTAACTTTGCTAATGGCTGCACTTGTTTGCCTGTTCACTAAGCAGCCATAGTCTCTTGAACTTGTATTTGTCTTTTGTAATGCTTTCTTTCTGTATTTTCTCAGGACGTGTTTTACCATTTTTTGGCTCTGCTTTTCTACTTTGCTGCCTTTGTGTTGGAGGCAGCAACTACAGCAGCTAATCGAGGAGCTCACATCATCCAACTGAACGGCACTGGAAAAGTCCTGTGTACAGCCAACACACAGGGCACGATATTCACAGTCCTGAGTGAATACCAATACAGTGTTAATGTAGCAGCCACGGTGAGTGCTGAAGATTTCATTAAAGCAATTTCAGCATAAATCACTCACAGTGCAATGTGAATGAAGATAAGCTCATTGTTTGTTCACTTTGGAGAGAAGTAGGTAAAAGTGTCATAAAGATATAACTAAGAAATGCATTCTGCACTATTTGATGACATGAAAGAGTGTCAATGTAGTCAGAGGCAATTCTAAAGTCTGTTGGGGCCCTAGTCAAAAATCAATTGGGGGGGAGGCTGCATTCAGCAGGGCAACGAGAGTGAGTGCTGTCAGATGGGGCCCCTATAGGGAGGTTTCCTACTGTCATTGCAAATTTTGCACATATTGGGCCGCTGCCTTGCCTGTTGACAAGCAGCACCTCTGCATGTAGTCTTGAATAATCAGAAAGCTGTAAACAGTTAAGTAAGGTCTTATTTTGATTAAAGTGAAATATACCCTCACTAATGTGCTGTCAACAATTTTAAAATCAGTAAGACACATCTTCTGTGCCTGTTTTTTTGTTATCTGTACATTATATCTGTCAAAGAAGAGTTCAGTTTGAAAGAGATTCTCAACGGTCTCTGTGTCAGCTCTCGAGTCAAACAGCGACATCTTCAGGTGCTGAGCTCATTGTGACCACAGGAATATAAGGAACATGAAATGACTTTTTTTGTATCAGTGTAGAGGCGATAAAAACAATATAAAAATGTATGAATAAACATTGTGATACTTTTCTGTATTATTTTTTTGGGGAAACAGCCCGATTGGCGGTTTATCTGACTGAGTTTTTCTCTTCATCTTCTTTTCTCTCCTTTTCATGCTCCAGATATTTGCGTTTGCAGTGACACTATGCTATGGCTGCAGTTTGGCGATGGGTTTCAAGAGATGGAGGATGTAACCAAGAAAACCAGCACGCACTAGCTCCTGTAACTGCAGTATAACATGTATAAAACCATCAGCCTCCCATCCAGAGCGCCATAAAGACCACTGCTCTTTAGTTCAGTGGGAAATGACAGATGACAACATTTCTGGTCCAATCATGGCCTTTGAAGATGTTTTGATAACAGGGTATAAACTGAACTTTAACTATAGGTGTATCTAACTCCAGATACGCTATCCTTTACCCCAAAGAAAAGTCTTTGTGGAAGGAGGAGGAGGAGAAAAGTTATAATAAGGCTATACAGGGTACTTTTGAAAGATGTATGCAACAGTTATGGTTTTGACATCAAGTTTGCTGATCATAAAAAACTTGCCCAATTTCTTGAGTAACATCCTCATTGGAGGGAACATTTCCCATTTCCAAAACCACAAAAACATCCCTACTAGCGTGTCACTAATGAGAAATGAAAAACTAAACATGTTGATGGTGCAATATTTTTACTGTCCTCTGGTTACCTTTGTGACAAAGAGCTGTAAACTCACTCTGCATTTAACTGCTGTAACTTTTTTAACGTGGTCATTCTATAAAATGTGGATCTAGTGCTTGAATGTTGTTTTGCTGTTGAGCACTTTTTTGTCCGATTTTCTCTGTATATCATAATTGTAACATTATAACATTTTAGCTCTTCTTAGTCCTCATCAGGTTCTAATAACTGAGACTGTTTAAAGGTGCACTATGTAGTTTTGGTAGAGAAATGTAAAAGTTGGAGAAGTGTACAGATTCTGTGGTCTGTTCATAACTCGATACACAAACTGTCCTCAGAGGAAAATTTGGTCCCTGTAACACTGTTTGAAGATAAAATGCTATGCGAGAAGTTATGGTGGGGGGTCCACAACAGTGAAACCGTAACTCTCCTGGTAGCTTTTTAGCTCCAAACAGAGTTCCAGGGACCCATTTTACCTTTGAATAAAGTTTGTGTATTTAGTTCAGAAAGTATAGTATGGAATTGTTTCACTTCTCCAACTTTCAAATTGCACTACCAATCTTTAAAAGTGCACTATGCACCTTTAAAAGTTCTGAGTAAAGTCCATGTGGTTAACTAATGTACTATTTGATAAGTATAATATTTTATCAGATTCAATAAAAAAGAATTTTGTATTTTGTAACTTTATTTCTCATGTGAGACATGATTAATTACTCAGATTTACTGTATTTAACTTTTTATGCACTAGGCCAATGAAGTGATATTAATTAAAAAATTGTTTGAATGTATGATTTAGAAACCTGCTGCTTTGATGTAATTAATGTAGCCTATATTAGAAGTACAGAAATAAAAGTTTTGAAGAATAACATCATGTCTGCATCATTGAATAACGTACTGTAATCAGCTGTCTTTTCTCATGCTACTACTATGTGTCACCAAAGTAAAAAAAAATGTTTTTAACATCTACAGCAAATATTCAATTTTACTTTACACACACTACTACGACTTCACATTTCCTGGTGTACAGTAATATAGTTTAAAGCATAGGAATATTTTATTGTTGGAAAGTCTAAAATGATATTATGGCTTTCTTTAAACATGGATTGGTTCAAGGAAAAGTTGACCTGAAATCATAAATTCCCAAATGCACTAAAGATGTGTTTTATAGGAATGGATACATTGTTGTAAGTTTTTACTTCTGTAATTGCATGACAAACTTAATATGAAATTGCTGTTTTACATTTGAACTTCCTACTGGGATTTTGTGTTGTAACTTTTTATGTCTACCACTAGATGCCACCAGTAACCAACAACAACTCAACTTTTCCACATGAGCCATTGATATCAAAACTTTGGCATCAACAAAATATGCTTTAAATTGTTGTGCTTGTATAATTCACTCTACACACTCACAAGGCAAAAACATACTGAGAATGTTTTAATATTTCAACGTGTAGGGTACTTATAAAAACAATATCTAATATTATCCGTCTTGTGTTTAAGTGCAGTTTTGAACGATAATCAGGATGTTACCATCACCTCAAAACTAGAATAGTTCTCAGTTAATTTCCTTATTTTAAAACAAAAAAAATGATAGATCATCTCACCTTACTTTAGAAACCTTGTGTTAAAAAAACAAATTATGGCCTCTTCTTGGGTTTGGGTAGTCAGTCCTACTTTTCCCTATTAATACACCCATGTAGGTAATGTGACCACATAAAAGTAATCGAAAGACTTTAGCATTCACTGCTCACCTTTTTGTATGTCCCATTAAAACAGAGTCAAGTAGAACAAAATAATACATACCGGAAGTAGAATTTCACACGAAACATTGTGTTTTAAATAATATGAAATAAATCTACAAGTGTTGCTCACTACAGTCAAGTGTTGCTTTTTATTTTCAGTAATCTTAAAACCATTCTTTTTGGACGAGTTTAAAACTTAATAAACTTAATAAAATATATATTTGTTTTGGGTGAAAAAACTATGAACCGGAAGTGCGTGTTGTGTTGATTGAGGCGGGCTTGTCGGATGTTTCTCGTGGAGGTTTTTCTTACTCAGTCGGTGTTGAGAAAGCAGCGAGAGCAACTGCGAGTGTTGGTGTTTACCTGACAGGATACAGACACATTTTTCCTGCCTGAACGCCGTGGATTATATCCAGTTTCGACTATTAATCTGCAAAAGGTTGTCTTCAGGGTCCAGCCATGGGTATGAGCGGGACGGCGTGGAGAGGAGAGGGGGATTTAAATTTCTCTTTCGTCCCAAACAGCCTCTTTTGATTTGAAGTAAACGGTGCACCGCAGCAGGATCCAGCTGTGCTTCCTTTCTCGTTTGGCTCAGACTAAAGTAGTTCTTCGTCGATTCCAGAGTAGAAAACACTACACTTTGAAAGTTTTTTTTCGGTTTTTTTTGGACGGAGTTTTTTGGGCTTTCCTAGAGAGCGGAGGTGACCTGAAAGCGGCTCACGGAGTCGGCACTGCCCGCTGGAGTCTCCTGAAAATGGAGGCTGTCGAGAAGGAATGCAGCGCACTTGGAGGACTCTTCCAAACTCTTATCGGAGACATGAAAGTAAGACAAATGAACTTTACAAAACATTATATATTATCAGAAAGACATTTGACTAGGCATAAAAACTAACTTTCCCTTCTAGTCAACTTCCAAAAGACCAATGATAAACAGTTTGTATTTAATGGTCCGACTCCTGATTAGGTTTTTAACTTCAATATCAACATTGAGCATAATAAATATATAAAAACAATAACTTTTAGGCTAGATATAATTAAGTAATTTAAGACTTTCTGAATTGTCTGTATAATAACCAACGTTACTTTATTGTTTATATTGTTTATAGGTGCTTTAAATTACACAAATATTTTTTATCCCTGCACGGGTTATGTACATTTCTTGTATAAATCTATTTTTAATTGCACAGTTTAAGTTTGATTCATCTAGGGGTATTCTATTTCAGGTTAATATATATATATATGTGTATGGGAGGGGGGCGTCGGTTTTGTGGTTTAATTTGTAACAAATGTTTCATGTCATGTATGTCTTTGTAACCTGCTACTGGATGCTTTGAATTTCCCTCAGGATCAATAAAGTATCTATCTATCTATCTATTATTTTCTATTGGAAAAATACATCAAGGTCTATAGATTCATTTGTTCAAGTTTAGTAAGTGGCCCTTATAATATGGACTAAATAGGGCTAGTTAGTCTAAAAACGTGTCTTATTTTAGAGTTATTTTTACATCTTGGATGGGACAATTAGGAGATTTCTCAGCTGTTGTACTTGGCTGGAGGAATGTAGAGAATGTAGCTGTCAGGGTAGAAAATTACCCTCAGCGTCTGAAGGATTTGACATGTGTAGGTCAAATGACCGGCCATCGGGTCTACTGGAGTCAGATAGTTTGTTATGAATACTGCTCAGACATTCAACACTCCTCAGGGCCCCTTGTCTCACTTCACTGGGTAGTTCATGTATCCCCTGTCTCTGTGTGTATATGATTTGTCTTAGCATATAGGCTGGAAGTTCACATCCCTACAGGAGCATGTTCTTTTCCAGTGCCACAGATAAGGCTGTGTACCCTACAAATGATTGTAGTTGAAACTTAGCAAGTGTAGAAGCTTAATCCGTCAACAAGAGGAGTAATATTTGGTAGTAATAATGCAACAACAGAAAAGGGGGGAAAAAGCCATTCATGTTGTGCTGTAGTGTTTGATTTTTAAATATAAGCAGGCAGAGCTGCTGGTGGTGACCTCTTGATTTTAAGAGACCTGTAGGAACCAAAGTGGTGTAAGGGAGATTGGGCGACAGGGAGGGGAAAGAGAGGTCCTTTAGGGTTGACTTGATTGTTGGGTGTAATGTTTGACAGTATACCATGACATTCCTCAGACCCCTGACAGTAGAAGCACATCGGTGACAAACATATGCTCAAGCTATATGTTACTCAGCAGAGCACTTTCTTTAAAAAAAAATGCATCAGTAAAGTAGTATCCTATCCTATACCTGGTATGTGATTAAAGTGTGGTTTTGTGAGCTAAAATGAATGTTTTCTGTATGAATTGGGATTCCTAAATGTTTCTGGGTTGAACAAATACAACCAGGCACTATGTCATGTCTTAAACCATCATGTTATCTTCCTCTCTTTGATGCAAAATGCCACTTGTTCTCTGTGTTAGAGCTATGATAAAAGCCCCTTTAACTATTTTCAGCCAAGGACCTGAATTAGGTAAATTTAGAGTCCCATCGGGAACCAGGCTCATTATACCATAGTACTAGTGCTCTAGAGGCCTGCGACCCATTTTCTAACCTAACACAAGCAGGATATGAGTATCTGTTCTCCCATTAACAGGTAACAAATAACTTTAAAAAGTTGAACACAATTGTGTTAACAAAGCACACTGTTTGAAAAAAGTGATGTACAGTATTATTCCTGTTTAAAGGCTCATAGAGCAAATATCGTCTTGTATTTTCCCTTCCAAGTTTATGGAAAAACATTATGTTGTTATGTTGTGACATAACTGAGTGACATGCATGGGAAAGCTTTGGCCTGAGTTCTTCTTAGCCCTGCAGGTGAGGCGAGGCACCAGGTGGCCTCATGATGGCTTAACAGTTGGGTAATCGTGAGAATAGTAAAATCTGTTCTGAAAATGTATCATTCACGTTTGTCTCTCTCTGTTTTTTTTTGCACAGAGCAGCTACCCTATCTGGGAGGACTTTACCACCAAGGCTGGCAAACTGCAGTCACAGCTCAGGTGAGAACCTGTTGGTGTGCACATACAACAGATTTTATTCATCATTATTTCATGGCACCCTCTTCTTTTGCAATGATTTGATGGCATCCAACTGGACATTTAGCCTCACAATCTGTTTTGTGTGGTCAACTCAAATTTTACTCATATTTAAATTTTGTAAAAATGTGTGTGAATGTGCTAAATTTCTAAATTTCAAATGTACACACCAAAATACATTTCCCCCCACTGATCATGTACTTTATTTTGGCCTTTACATAGTCAGTGACTATTTGACCACATGTCCTCAGACTGACAAGCACTGACAGTTTACACAAAAGCCTAACCTTCTGACAATACTGTCTGGGTTTCATTATGTGTACTTTACTCTCATTGAGTGATCTTTAAGCCTGATTTAATTTTTACGTCTAATGCTGTAAATTTACACACCTCCTGCCAAAAGTCTTCTGCTGACAATGGATGCCAATCCCAGCCACCTCTCCTAGTTGGTTTTAAGTGGACACGTGTCAGAAGACAAACAGCCCATGACAGCTGAAATAAAAGCTCATTGTCCAGCAAGTACTGTAAATAAGGATGTCCTGTGGTCTAAATTATTCTTTGATTAACTTAACATGGCAGTTCTCTAGCCATTTAAGTGTCCACGTGTCCTGGGACAGAATCATACTGACAGTTTTATAAAGGCTCAGGGACTTAACAATACTTCCCAGGGGCCAATCAGTGTCCCATTTGTCCATTTTCTCAGTATTAAGGCTAAATAATGGTGATATGTTATTCAAGTGTCTCCATCATTCAGAGGTTAAATATGTGACCCTGCCATGTTAACACTCCAGGGAGTATTGGTGGCCGTCTTGCTAATGACTGGAGGTTTGGCACTGGAGAGCTCTGTGTCTGGATTATGGAGCAAAGAACAGATCTACGTATATAAATATATAAGTGAACAAATAGTGAACTTAAGTATTTCATTCCAGGGCTCGACATTATAAATTAGGTTTTCTCTGATAAAAAACACGTTTGGTAAAATGGTTTTAAAACCATCAGATACAGACAAAACCTGATCTTAAATCAGCATTCAAAGGAAAAAAACACACAGCATGCAAATACCATAGATCAGAGCGGCCAGGAACTCCACTGGTCAATGGTGCTATGCAGACGCAAATCTGCAACAGGAGATCAACAGGAGACTCCAGTGTGAAGAGGAGAACATGACGCTCAGAGAACTTGAATCCGTTCTTAAGCGCACCACAGGACTTGTCAAACTATATGAACAAGACCAAAGAGGAGCTCTTAGCAGTTGTGGCAGCTCAAAACAGCCAGCTGTAGGCTGAAAAGTTTGGGGCTGGTGCACTCAGAAAACAACTGGAGCATCAGCCAGAGATCCCCCAGCGATCTGATGGAGAAACTGAGGGCTGAATAAGAAGCTCTTGAACAGCATTTGAATGTGGCCTCTGAACTATTTCTTCAGAAGGAGGCCAATAAGGAGCTTGTGAATAAAGTGGAAGATCTCGAAAAGGATCTAGAGCTCATAAGAAGACAACTACAACAGCAGAAATGCAAGACAGTAGAAATCCAAAGCGATTGTAATTATCAATGCAACCTGCTGCTGACTGAATTGTATAGGGCTGAAGACCTGGACAAAGAACTGAAAGAAGTTAGGCAACAGCTTCATGAGACACTTCACAGGGACCTGAAGCTTGTTGAGAAGGTCAAAGCTGAAAAAGATGCACTTGAAGAGGAGGCCCGACACAGAGACAAGGTTAACGCCGTGCAGCTGGAGGACCTCAAAAAGCAGCTTCAGAAAAAAATACGAGCTGCAGCTTTGAGCTGGCCTTGACAGAGGGGGAGGCTTTGTCAGGTCACGCAGGAGGAGGTTGAAGAACTCCCAAAAGATATGGAGCTCCATACATGTGAGCCAATTGTAGAGCTGTCCCTCCCGCTAAAAAAACATCCATGTCACAGATGAGGCTGACCCTCGAGTCAAAGAAACAACTGAGATGGTCAAGGAAACATCTGAAACAGATCAGGAAATACAAGAGACGGTCCAAGAAACGGCAGAGACAGTCCAGGATACTGCTGAACTGATCCATGAAACAGCGGAGACAGAGCGAACACCTGAGACGTACCAAGAAGCATCTGTGGTCGAGCATGTCTCTTGGTGGAGGAAATTCAAAAAGGCATGCACTCTCAAACATCTTCGCAAATGTAAGCACCTGCAAATGGTGCAGAAGCGGGAGCGACCAACCCCCACCTCACACTGGGTTTTTCTCCGGGATGCTCCGGTTTCTCCCACACATAAATAAATTAAAACAATTGGATTCACAATAAAAAGTTAAAAAGTCTGAGGTTCAACTTAATAAATTCTTGAAATAATTACATATTTTCTGTGGAGTTGGATTTCTGTAGGGTTTTGTTAAATGTTCTTTATGTTTTGTTCAAAGTAAGAGTATTATATTATGATATGTCTATTGATGCCCCCAGTAAAGATCAGTTTCTCCTATTCAGGATGACTGAAGTGCCATTCATTGACAAACTATTTTAAAAAAAACAACCTGTTTTAGCATTTATGAGTTGCTGTTACCCAACGAAGCCTGGCCTACGCCCTGCTTCAGGCTACAGTGGTTGTGGCATATGGCTGCATATGAATTACCCATGCTGCTGCACAGCTAATAAGAAGTAATATCAAAGTATGCTAATGGTGACCTACAAGTGAGGCTTTTTCCGCTACTTTAAAGCCGGTCTCCAGCGACTACAAATTTGGCAGAACTAGCCCCCCCCACCCCCCACCCAATGACCTCTGTAATCTGTTTAGGGACTGAGCTAGACAGAAGGGTACACACACACAAACTCACAGTAAAACACAAACACACCCACCTTCCCTCCTTGGCTTGGATAAGCGACTAGCCAGCAATGGAAGCAGGCATATGTCTGTGTGTGTAATGACGTCCTAAGGCATCCTGCTCTGTAATTTAAACCCTCTGTTCGCCCTTTACAAAGCAATGAGGAATCAACCAATTACAGTGTTGGGGTTGTCCTGTCATTTTTGGACCAAATATGGTGTTTTTATCCCTCCTAGTTCTGGTTTTAAGAACTAACACACACACACATGTACATGCATGCACACATAACAGAGCTTTGAAGAAGGGCAGTGCAGAATATAGGCTAGATGATTTCTAATCAAGGCCCTTTTTAACTTGTCAATGTTTGGTCTGTTTGGTGCGGCATGGTTGATGCAGCTGTGACAGGGCCAGGATTACACTCAGACCTCCCTCATTCTGGTTTTAAATTCAGAGACAACCTCAAAACTCTTAATTTAGATTATGAACTTGGTGGTTATTCAACTTGTTTGAGCTCAAAAGGAGTTACAAAATTGTTGGACTGTTGTTGAAAAGTGGACTCACAAGAACACAAACGGATGCAGTACACATAACACTAACACAACTTCTTGAAACACCCTCAATGTACTGCGTGTGTCACAGTGCTTGGTATGTTGTGTCTGAAACAAGCTGAGTTAAACACAACCTCTTTTAATGCAGATTTACTATAGCCTCACTCTAGCTTCGGTTGCACTAAGAATAGATGAGGGCAGCACTGCTGAATGTATTATTCTAAGAAAAAGCACACCACTGTACTACGCCTGGGTCCATTGGGAGTTAAGATTGGCTTGGCCAAGGCCTTACAGAATAGATATGTTAAGTCATTTGTCTTGATCCCAGGACAGGGGCATTTGCAGATTTAAAAGCCAATAGTAGCAGCCAGGTCATTTTTGGAGAACTGTGCAAAGCTGAAGGCTTACCTTCTTGAAAGTATTGAGGATTCAAATGTGATTATGCGCCTTTGCAAATCTGTAATCATTTATTTGTTGAGAATTGGCATACTTCACTGTTGAATGTGCCAGAATACTTTTCAAGTTTTTAAAGGTAATTTCTCTCAATGCTGCTAATTTAGAAATGTATATGAAATGTGTATATCTAGGCTGTACAGATAGATCTTGAAAGTGCAGTGAATGGACTAAACAAGTTTAATAGTTGGACATTTCTCTTGTTAAAACATGGAACAGTTAACAGCAGGTGATCATGCCGAGTAGTTGTAAACTGCTGCACATTGTAGGTCAGTGTGCTGAAGCCTCTGATTCTGAAGCAGGCTTCATTTACAACCACTTCCCACATAAACCTGTTTTGCATTAATAAATCAAACCTTCGCGAACAAGACTTAGCTGCAAGTAGAATCTGATAGACCAAAGTGTTAATGGTATAAATTAGTGGGAGCAGATATGAGTTGGAGGTTACTCTGGTGCCTGCTCTGGGCTTTAAATAGAAAGGAATCTGTGTGTGCCTGCACGTATGTTTCTTTTTCCATTTGCAAGACACACCCTTGGATCTTCTAGTGAGCCCTATATCAACACAGCACTTATTAGTCATTAAGATTTTAGATGATAAAGAAAATGAATGCCAGATCATTGACTGATGCTAAGACTTGGCTTTTACTTGAATGAAGCAGAGTATTAGGCCCTGAGTTATATATTTGCTGTTTATCAGTAGAACATCTATGTATTCCCTTTCTGCTAACCTTGTGGGAGTCAGACAGGTAAACTGTAACTGGTATTTAAACTACCAAGAACCGTCTTTAAACAGTTGAAGGATGACTTTTTAAAAATAACGTAAAACTCAGCATTAACCTTCTGTCTTTAAAAAAATCTTCTGAGGAGTTTTTAAAGAATATAACATAGTGGTTCTGTTGATAGCATTGACCCATATATTCAAGGGTGCTACAGTGTGTCCCCACCTATAAGGTTGCATTAAAAGACTGGTCTAAAAATTGAGCACTTACATAGTACTGACACTAGAAAAAAAATACTTGTATACCATATCTAGAGAGTCCACCTTTTTTTTGAAGTCCTGAGCCCCACCTGATTTTTCCTCAACTACTAATTTATGCATAATACTCATACCAGTTAACAATCTTTAATGTGTAAAACTAACAAACTTCCCCTTTTAATATTTCCCAATGCACGAGTATTCCCCCAAACTGCTTTACAGCTTTTAGATACATAAAGTAGAAAAAAAAACATGAGTCTCCACCATCCTGAACTCATCTATTGTTTTGCCCAGTTATGAGAGCCACCTGTCTGGACTGTTTATGGAAACTCCCAGGTTGTGTTGTGGTGGTTTTCTGTTGGCCAGTGGACGATAACAAGGGTTTACAAATGAAGGAGCTCCTTGTTAGAACAAGCATGTTTTTGGGGCTGACTGTGCTGTGGAAAATTTCCCGCATTGTGCTTCTTCTTTTTTTTTTATCATGCATTAGGCAGTCTTGTCTTTGTTGAGGAAATCAGATATCACATAAATGCACGTGCACCACATGCACGTTCATCTTCTGTGATGTTAATCATGTGAGGGCTGTTGATGCAGCCTGTCGCAAGCAAAGTAACAAGTCAGTAAGACAGCCAGAAAGGCAGTCAATGTGGGTGTTACCACATTTTGCATGCAATTTAAATACTTTGTAAGCTTTACAAGGTTACCAAAAGGCATGTTGAAGTTGTGAACCACAGGCACAAGCCCCTTTTCCATTTTAGAACTGATCATAGTAGTTCTCCCATTGATCCTTTCTTCAACCTGCAAGTGTGGCAAACTTAGCTCCAGAGCGGCTCTGCTGAGCCAGACAGATTCCATCGCTCTCTAAGTAATCACATAGACATTCCTCACACAGTAGGGCACGTTTGAGTTTACACACATGCCAAGCACTTAGAATATATCTTACACACTTCAATTTCAGACGTCAGGGGCTGATTAAAGGTTCTTAATCTGAAATGTCACACACAAGCGTGCATGAATGCACATGCTAAGTCTCTTTACTTTTTTATCTGCTTTTTCAAGCAAATGAAGAGTTTTCTTTATCAGATCATTTGTCTCTGCCTGCCAACACTTGTGTGTAAGATGATCAGCCACCTGAGCTATGACATTTTTCGTTGATATGGAGTTTTTTTTCTCCTAGGGCGACTGTAGTTGCTGTGGCTGCTTTCCTGGATGCCTTTCAGAAAGTGGCCGACCTGGCTACCAACTCACGAGGTACGTAGATACTGTATATGTTCACAGATTTAGAGGCTTTAGTGCCTGAGCAGTTGTCTGTACCCCTGACCCATTCCCCATTTTAGTTTCCTATTTAGCACAGTGCTTACTGGGATAAATCAGTTACTTCACTGTTTAACAGCCTGTTTCTGGGCACCTATGTGTTAGTGTGTTTGTCTGTGTAGCCCCACTGGGCAAGTCCATTTTTTGGGCCGACTGTGCTGAGAAGTTCTATGGGTTGTTTGCTTTATCGTATAGGTAGTAAATCCCTCACTATGCTGTTTGAAGCTCTGTGGCTGGCTTTGTCTTCAACCTCTACTCCCCTTCCCCTGCTTTCTGCCCCGACGCCACCCCCGCCAACACCGCCTCTGCTACATCTGGACACTCTGCTAGGGTCTGCTTCCACTCTGTATGTGTATGAGAAAGAAAGAGAGAGAGTGAGAGATCACACCTCTCCCGAGCGTTGACACCTCCAGTCCTGCTCTTTACTATTAATAGGAACTGAGACAGACACACACATTCATCACTCAGTCACTGCAGAGAGAAAGAGAGAGGGGGAATAGAGCTAGGAGAGAGAAAGAGAGAGAGATGCGGAGTACTGGAAGTCATTACACCCTATCTGTCTCACTCACCCCTTGTAAATGTTTGCAAAAGAGTTAGGTTCACTCAGCTGAGGAGCATTGCATCATCCTTGATCTGCTCTTCCATCACTTTCTTCACCCCGTCCCTCTACTTATTGTGTTGTAGGTTTGCTATATCGCATGACAAGGCTGTCATTTATGTGCTTTGTAACTCAGGTTTCACTGCACACCTGGGCACTGAAACATAGAGGAAATCATAAATAATGATTTATATATCTCTTGTTAGATTATCTGACTGAATCAGAATAAGGATCATTGCCAAGCATCCAAGAAATTTGACTTGGTGTTAGGGTGGAAAAACAACTGACAGATATAGAATAAAGAGTGACATGCAATATTAAATAAAATATCAAAACACAAAATGGACAGAAGGTTCACACACACACACACACACAATGAAGCAACTGTACAGTTGTGCATGCATTTGCATAATTAAGGGTGAGTGCAAATATCTTTAAGTGGAAAGTTACACACAGGGTTGCAGGGGAACACAGGTCCACATAGAAACAGTATCTTCCTCTTATTAGTGCTTCACCTATGCCGTGACTCAAATAATTGTAGAAAAGTGGAGGTACTGTTGTAATGGCAACTTTAAATAAATAAAATGTTCCCCTCTCACACACACAAGGACACACACAACTTAAACAAAGATTTCCTGACTGCAGATAGGTTTGTCAGTATATTTAAAGCGATGCAAGACTTCAAGCTTTGCACATACGCTATAGAGATTGGCTATCGATGCTCAATTTGTGTTGAGAGAGCAAATGATTATTAAGTCAATATTTCATGTTTGCCTATTCTTGAAGAATTAATGTATGAGCAAATTTAGGGTTCATGTGAAGCTATTACAAAGCAAATAAAAAGATGCTGCAGGACAGAGGGTAACTGTGGTAGAAAGCTTTTCTCATTATACCTCAAAACTAAAGTGTACTTATTTTCATGAGCAATATTGTTACATGGCTAACTATGGTGTTTGGTTGCTGAGAGGCATGTTGTAATTGTTAATGTACTGAGGAGTCATTTGTAACCAAGCCAAACTGCTCTGTTGGAATATAAAACTATAAAACTATGAAACAGTTGTTATGTACATGTCATGACTCTCAAAATGCCTGGGGTAGTGATCTTTCTACTCAGGCAACATATCAGCTTACTGTATTGTTCACCTTCAGAGTAAAAGAGCAGAATATATTTCCCTCCCAGCCTTTATGTTTCTGTTCATGTGTGTCTGCAGCTTTGATGTTGAAGAGCATCTGCATGGTTTTGTGACTAGATCAGATAAAGTGCAGACTGGTAGACAAGCCATTTTCTGTTTGCTCATCATACAGCCAGAGGCTTCTAAGGCCACAAAAGATGATGGCCGTTCTTTTGGTTCACCTCTCTGTTTCCCTCTGTTTCTTGTCACCCTTGGCATAAAAAATGACAGTGCATGTACTGAATGTTGTTTAGTGTCATAATCAGAAGAACAAGACTTTCTGCCGCCTTTGTAAATGGTCATATTAATAGATAGTCTTCAGATATTGGCCGGAGCGGTTGCTCATAAAATTCAAGGGTTGATCAGTGGACTCAGAAGTCTTTGATGGGGCTGAGATGAAAGTTACTCCTTGACGCTTTTATCTGTGTTATCTCTGAGGCAGCATTTAGCAGAAACATATTTTTTCCTTTCCAGTATTAAACCAATGTACAATATTTGGTCCTCCATGTGCCAAGCAGCTTTTTTTGATCGCTTTGTGCAAAATAAAATGTATAACAAGAAATGTCTTTAACCTAAGGCCTACTCAAAATGGAAGATTCTTCTGAGTTAACTTAATGACCCCAATAAGCCTTTGTGGCAAGCGATTTAATCATATCTATTGTAGTTTAGTGTAAAACAAGGATTTCTTCCTATCAATCTTCCAGTTCTAACATCAGTAAATGAAATGCTCATGAGCTGATCATTGTGGTAAAAATTGTTTACGTTAGTTCTGGCAGTGGTCCAGTGAGAGGCTGGAGCTTCATTTAATAATCAGCTGTGGCATGCTGTTTTTGTTTCTGTATTTGTTTAAATGATTTGTTTTTACTGATCTATGAGAACCAGATGTTTTCATAAGATGAACAGAGGAGATTAAACCTGCAAACTGAGGGTACTTGGCCAGTTTTGCATTAGGTGGACCTGGCTAAGAACACCCAGTTAGAGAAGAGTGAGGGTTAGAAAAGATTGGAGGATTACAATATAAGATTTAATCCGCATTACAGAATCAGCTCACAATAAGAGACATGCATTTGCTTCTTTTCATTGATGAGAATAGTAAAGGTAAAGCCCAGCTTATAAGTTTACAGTTGAGTGAAATCAAATAACTGGAATGCCAAGTGGGGAATGTTTGAATAGAAGAAAGAAGGACTTAAGAATCCCAGCAAAGGCTTTCCTTTCCTTTTTGTCTCTTATTATGTAGTGTACTGTAGCTGACAGTGGACACACACACACACAAGCACACACAGATCACAGATTTAAAAAAAAACTTGCTTTGGTAGAACATGCAAACACACTGTACTTAAGTGTAAATATGGGCAGTTTGTGACACCCAACTGCAAAGAATCCAACACGGGTGCTCACACACCTGTTTAAATATGTTCATTACAAGACATCTAAATTACACACAGACACTCACACACACAGACACACTCACACACACACTCACACACACACACACACACACACACACACAGGATTAGCAGAGACCACTTGTTTCTTGGGACTTTCTCCATGCACAAAGGGGCTAACTTTGCCTCACTCTGATGCAGAACATTGGAGTGTGCATTGGCAGGACTTCTTTGAGTTTCGTTTCTACTTGTTTTTATAGCTGCATTTGCACTTCTGATCATTGTGTGTGTATTTTTTCCACTTTTGTTGACTGAGAAAGCATTTTAAGGTTCTTAATCAAATGTTTGTTTTTTTTTCCGAAATTGAAGTGTTGTTTCTCCTGAACTTCTCAATCATATCCCCATAACAGTTTTGTTTTATCCCGTAATTTGTTTTCTGCCTTACCCTTTTGTTGTTGCAGCTTTGTTTGTTTGAGCAGGAGGTGCTAGTGTGGATAGCTCAGGTTTTCCCTCCTCTCTGCATTGTCAAAATGGATATGATTTTGACTGGTCACTTAATTAAAAGTAAGCTAACACTGAGTCTGAGTAATGTTTGTGCTGTCAAGTTGAGCTACAAATGTATGGAAATCGTTGGGTAAAAACATTCTTGACAATTTTTTTTAGAGAAATGCTTACTGTTGAGTGTCATATCAACAACAGTGATTTTCTAATTCAAATGTTCTAAATATGTATCCTTGACAGGGTTTTATATTATAATCAACATGTTTTTTTTGTTTTTCCTATAGCATTTTTACAAAAACAGGTTAAACTAACATCCTGAAGTGGGTGAATTTAGTTTGTTTGCCTTTTTTACGTGAATCCACTGATTCATTAACTGAAGTTTACACTCTCACTTTCTTCTTGCACTTATTTGATGTCATTTTTACAGCTATCTCTCTCTCTCTCTCTCTCTCTCTATCTCTATTGCCTTTTTTGGCCATATTAGCTTTCTTTCCCTGTTAAGTCCTTTCTATAGTTTAACCTTGAATCTGCCCAATAAAGTGACAACATAACATGCAGCCATTTGCCTGTATCCTTGAACTGTTAGCAAAACAAACATTTGGGCACCCACAGAGTGTCTCCTGGTAGGAACAGTGTGACCATGTTTGTTCTAATAGAGTAAATAGTTCCATTGTTTGAACTCATGATATCAAATGTAAATTATTCAGTGTTTTGGGCTGACCACAGGGATCAGGCCACATGCAACAATGTCCAAGGAAACTGACAAACAATCTGTTACGACAATGTGTGTTGCTAAAGAAGAAAATGTGACAATTTTGACAAATAGGAAACGTGGATAGAAGAAGAGAAGGCGGAGGAATAATCATTTCTCTTTTATTCATCAGGCACCAGTTCATTTTTCCATGTAGATCACCTCTACCCCCCTCTCTGTTTATTATTAAATAATGCTTTCCTCATAGTTTCAGTTTCATTGTATATTGGGCTATTATATGAGTCTGTTTTTGTGTGTCTGTGGGTCTATTTTTAGCTTGTCTGCGTATGTTCATAGCGCTGTATACGAGTGATACCTTTTTGTGGTATGTTCCATTCATTGAGTGTCAGAGTGACAGAGTGGCTGAGTAGTAAGAGTAACTCTGAGTCAGACACGGGGAAACTGCTGATGGCAAACTTGCTAAATTTAGGGATGAAGTCAAATCATACAACAGGCCAGACGAGGACAGCATGCGATAATTTATATCAAGGCTGTGAACTTTGATTAAGTTTGTCATTTTGCTTTTTACT